TGATACTCATTTTTATTTTATTCATAAAAACTAATTTTATAACTTTTTGCTTATATAATTTTTATTTAAGTTTTAATCAATATAGTGTGAACTCTTAAAGATGAATCAGAATTGAGATTCCTAATCATAATTTGTCCAAACAATCAAATTATAGTGTGAACGTATCCTAAGAGAGATTCTTCCATATTTCATTATATAAATTACCAATTAATTAAACTTTTCCACGCACCTATACAGCGCAGGAATCACATGGCTTAACAGTAATAAGACAAATACTTGCATTATTACGTGTCGATCTCCCACATTGTTCCTCATTTTTATTAATCAAACCCTAAATTTTTCCAATCATTAATCTTAGACTCCTAATCTACATCATAAAAAATAATTATTATTTTTTTACAATTGACTAGAAATCCAAATGACGTTTATTCCAGTCAAGAGAGACATAAATATATATAACAAAATCAAGTGGGAAAGAAAACCATTAGATAAATATATATAGTTTATTTGTAATCATTTAATAATTTTTTTAAGTATATTTTAAAATTAGAATGAAAATATTTTTCCTAAAATAAATCATTCATTGAATGACACAATTTTGTAATAAAGACAAGAAATATTTATCCATCAATCCTTTTCGATAGGAGACAAGGTGAGAAATAGAGTAGTAAGGTGAATGTCCTTACTCACAAGTGAGGGAGCACATAACATCACAGAGAGGGATCACTGTAGCATGATCTATTGCCGTAGCTATCTCTCCACTGCGACAGGGTGTGTGTGCATCTTCATGCATGTAATGGTGGGGACCAACATTATATTTAATATATTTTCTTTATCTGAGTAGTGTTTAAGATTCTTGTCTTTGCTGCTATTCTATCTTCTCCTTTCATTATGATTTTCTGGTTGATGATTTTGAAAGTAATCAAAGACAAACACTGGAGACCAACCAAGTGTGCTTATGTCTGGATTAATCTTTTACCGAAACAAACACTATTTTCACAGAATGAGATAGTATGAGTAGTGCAAAACTCTATTTTCATTTTCATTTTGGCATTCCAAACATGGATAAGAAGCGTGAAACCAGAAACAGACGTTGAACTCAGCAAATATATATGAAGTTTCACGTGGCTTACATTGTTGTGCTCCCCATGACAACAAGGGCCCTTCATACGCACACGAGGGGCAATGTAGTAAATGAATATGTTAACATATGAATTGGTACGGTCATGATCCTTTCTCTTTCACGTATTTTGGCCACACCCCACACAGAAACAAACAATAGCAGACAAATGAGTGAGGCCAAAAACTGCTTTAATAAGAGATAAGATATATGTTGTTGTCCACTAATTTAGGACGATACTTAGGTCCCAGAAGACATGGCGCCGTATGAACTTTTATAGCTTTAAATGTAAAATCCATCAAAATGAGTTGGTGTGCAGGAGTTAGATATATGTGTCTTCATATGAACATGATAACAGATAATTTATGTGTAATTGTTTTATCATTTGTCGAGGAAGTGACAATAGAGCAGAATTAATTTCTAGCAGAGAGTGTTTGAGAAATCTGTGATAGGAAAGAAAAAAGTAAAATCTGCAGAATTTATCTCAGAGCACATCACCCATGGTTCTGCTCACAGCTTGCTTCACTCCCTGCCATTGCATGCATTAATTGCAGTTTTTTGTGATGAAAACTGAGGCATGAGGTTTTTTGTTTGCACGTTATTTTATCGTTTTGTAGCTGTCAATGCCTTCTATTCATAGGACTGTTGTATATATGTGTGCCTTTGTTTGTTCATTTTATATATCAAATTTCTATCATCTAATAGAACAATTTTAATTGGGTTTAGTAAAAATCAATAGTTATAAGCTTTTGGCGGTTCAAAGTTCTCTGTGTTGATATTATTAATCTTAACATAATATTTTCTTTCAACTTAAGTCAAATAAGATTAAAAATAGTTTAGAAGAGCTACGTAGCTCTTCTTTTTGTATGAAATAAAAAGAAAAAAGAATGAATTTAACTAACATCATTAATCAATTACAAAGTGAAATAATATTTTAATATATAAATCCTAAGACAATATTTATTATACCTTTTTCATTATCCATAATTAGAGTTATTTTAAAAGTAGAGTTAAAAATATAAAATTTATTTTCACGAACTTTCATGCATCAACATTTGTTCTCTTCTTCCATAAATTTTTGCCATGACTTGATCCGTGGCTAACCTTTTTGGTTGTTTAAAATTTCACTCCTTGATATCATGTTTGATTGGAGGAGATGGAGATGGATGTAGAAATTACACGAGTATGTTTGAGAAGGCAACCATAAATGTTAGTCAATTTTATCAATATATTTCACTCTTATTTTGTACTTCTAATTTTTTTCCATTGTTTATACTCTGTCTTCAATAATTTTTTTAATTTATATTTATTCCTTATATATTATTACTAGTAACTATTTTTTTTATCTACTTTATTTCAACAAAATTAACACACTACAATAATAAACATAAAATCAGAAGTGTGAAACGTAAAATCACACGTTAAGAGTTGAGGAACGTGGTTCCCAAAGTTTTATAACTCCCATACAATTTATGATTTTGATTTCCCAACCTTAATAATCATTTAATATATTTACTTATATATTTATAATTTTATTCTTTCATCACTTCTAACTCTCGTATAATTTATAATTTTGTCCACTCAAATTTAATGATTATTTAATATATTTAGTTTTACATTTACAATTTTATTTTTTTCATATTTTCATATTCTTTCCCTTTTTATATTTATTTATTATTTATTAATAATATATTATTTTAACTCAAAATTAATGTTCAAGCCATTATATGCAATGAGGATAGGTCCACTCTTTTTCGTTTGAATAACACCTTTATAGCTATAATGACAAGTCATGACCTACTTTTTATCTCACCGTGGATTCTTCCCTCTCTAGCCGTGATTCGGATCCTCCATCTTCACCATAAACGTTCTCCATAATTTATTTCTACATATTTTAAAATAAGTAGGCTTTTTTTTATTAAAAAAATTTCTAATTTATTATGTTAAAAGTTTCACGTTTTCTATTTAAATAGATATTAGGTCACTTCACATCTTATCAATTAATTTTATAACTCAACCGTATTATATCTATACTTCTTTAAGAAAAACAATATATGAATATAATTAAAAGTCTAATTAAAGAATAAGATCAAAGTAAGGATAATAGAATAACGCCTTAGAAACAACTTGAATAAAGTGAGAAAACATAAAAACATAAGACAACTTCACACAGCACCCATTTTTGGAAATTACATGACCAAATTTGATCAAACACTTGGAAGTGTTATCCATCAACAACTCCACAACGTCCCACATTTTATTTATTTTCTAAAACAATCAGACTTTGAATACTTGAAAATGAAGTCTTGATCATCAACAAGTGTTTATTATTAGTATTTTACTAAAATCATAACCAAAGCTACTGTTACTCCAATTCACCAAATATATGAACAAAAATATGCATCAAACATAGCCCATGAACAAAATATGAATCCACCACCGTGAGCCAATTTTTTGTAGCATGAGAAATTCTTAAAAAATATATTAAAATTTAATCAAATCAAAATTAAAAATGAAAAAAAATAATATTTACAAATAACTAAAATTTTAAAAAATAAAATACCAACTAGAATTAAGACTCGTAGTTAAATACCCATTTATAGTATAATCACAAATTTAAAATATAATTTATATATAAAACTATTATTATTTTTTATGAAATTAAATAATGTAAAAAATATGCATTTAGTACAAAAGAACCCATAATAATCTATTATTTATGAGACCTACTAATATACTTGATAAAAGAAGTGTTATATATGTTACTCGTAATCCCGAGGATAAATATTACAAAATAAAAGAATCTAATTCCATTTTTGAGAAATTATTATGTAGTGTTGAATTATTATAAACTCGATTAAAATTTATGTCATATACAATTAAATATTATTAATTATTTTATTATAAATTAAAAATTTTAAATACGTGTCAGATTCATGAAAATCATAAAATTCTTCTACTAGCATCTCTTTAATTTATACCGTTGACATACAATATTTTTGCGCTGCGTCATCTTAAATCAAACAGCACTCATAGAATCTGAGAAACCTCTTCCCCCAAATACTACTGTTACACTGATCTCAATGTTCATTCATAATATATAATATATATAAAATGGGTCAATGGTTACAGAGTTATATATTAATTACGTAAGAAGAAAATCGATTCTATATTCCTCGTGTATAAATACAATTTCCTTGTATCTTAATTTAGTGTGATTTGTTAACAGTTTATTTCATTTTCAATGGGGATTTAAATTTCATTTGTTGTGATCTTTTATAATATGAAATTACCAGTAAGCAGATCTAGTGGTTTTTGTCAACGAACTACATGAAGAAAGAGAGATAACTTATGCTGCGGTTCATCCAAATTAACAAAGTTTCAATCAATTTTAACTGCAACTTCCATGATTATGAAGAAAAGCATTGTTCAAACAAATTAACCCCATCTCATAGAATTCATCAGCAACAAGTTCACGTGTTTTTTGTCAACCAACCTCACAACCTTCAAGAGAAATTATTACATGATACATAGGACCACCATTTATTTATGGTAGCATGACAGTAGTTCTATAACATGTAATGATTTGTAACTGAAGTCAGAGAGGGGGAGTGAGAATTTGAAGATGCAGTTCCTTCCTAATTAACAAGCCAAAGGCAAAATAAAACTTCCATGACTATGAACATAAGCATTCCATGAATTCCCATCTTGTATTCATCATTTTTCACTCCCTTCACCCCTTTTTCTATCTTACGAAAGCTTATAAGAAAGGGAAATAGAAGATAAAATTCAATAAAGCCCTTCCTCTCCAGTTAATGAACAAGTATTCTCTCAACTTCTACATGCCAACACTTGGTTAACATTTTCTACCAAATCTTCATCACATGCCTCTAGCCAACATTTCATGGAACATTCTATCAGACTCTTGCTTCTCCAACCTAAACTTCTCATGACAATCCGCAATGAACAATTCCGCCAGCATATCAATTTCGTTAGCCTCACAACCTTTGTTGTCATTCTCGTCATCGTCACAAACCTTCTCTTCCAGCCACCGCAAATAGCCTGCAAGCTGCGAGTTGCCGTGACATTCCTCGTACAAAAGCTCGGCATCACCAGGATTCGACAATCCCTGAAAGACCCTTGAGGGGACTTTGAAAACTTGAGAGGATTTGGAGGAGCACCAGTTGTAGTGAAGTCTGAAGGATCCAGAAATGATTTTCTTGGTCATCTTTTGGTTTGTGTGGTTGATCAAGTGAATGTTGTTGGACTGGTTTTTCTTGAGGGTTTGAATGATTGCAGCTTTGAGTTTGGAAAGTGCACGGATGATGCGGCACATGTGTGAGACTATGAGGGTGTGCATGAGGCTCTTGACCTTCATGGAGCTTAAGGCTGAAGAAGATGGTGATGGAGGATCATGTGAAGGTTTTATGGCGGAGAAAAGTTGAACCGGATGAGAGGTTTTGAGGTGGGAAGATGGGGTTGACATGTTTGTTTGTATGTTGTGTTGGAAGATTTGAGTGATGGTGGTGTGGTGAAGGTTAAACGGAGAAGAAAGTACTTGTATTTAATCTCTGAGGCTATTGTACTGGGTCCATCTAACATGGATGTTGTTAACATCATATCTCAACCTTTATTTTTCTTCCAAGTTTGCCCTTTCAAATGTTTTATTTCAAGGATTCTAATTCTATACTTTCAAAGTCTTGTCATATATTATTTTAATTATTATATGATTTTTTATATTTTTAATAATTTATACTGTATTTTTAATATTTAAAATTTGTAATAGTAAAAATGTTTTAAAATTTAAAATCTCTAAATTAATGATAATAATGTTTGAAACCACTGTATATATTACTTCTCAATTATGTTACATCGTTTTAAAAGGGTGAACACTCGATATTTTAATTTTTTTTTTACAAGTCAAGAGATTAATATTAATGGAGTAAACGGGTATTGGTGTTATGATAAAGAAGTATGATCCACATTGACCAAGAAAAGTTAAATGGCTACGATTTTTCCTGGAAAATTCAAACCATGTTCGTGGATACATGTTGCTCGCGTAACACCCGCTCCCCCGGGTTTAAAAAAGTTTGATTTGTTTTCGCATATTCGTCTCCATAAACATTAAAAAGGAAATAAAAGAAAATTTTGATTTTTTTTGTACAAATTAAATTAATTAGTTCATTAGTTAATTTAACTTCTTTAGTTTTTTTTTCTTCTTAACTTACAAATGAAAATAACTTTTTAACATTACACTTGGATATTTGGAAATAAATTGAAAATGAAAGAAAATGCTCTTCCTTGCTTTGAATTCAACACACTGTTGTTGACTTCAATTATTTATCTGAATATATTATTTAAACATTTTGCTGAAATGTTTTGAAATTTCGTTAGCATGTTATAAGTGCTTTCGCATGGGATAAGTTCGGGTTCTTCCCACACTCACTAAAATGATATAATGCTTGGTGTAGATATATTTTATACAAAATATTCTAAATTGTATAAAAAGAAATTATTTTCTAAAATTCTCGTCTAATCCAAAAATCAATTAATCTAACCTCATTTCATACACTTTGCTACACTGGAATAAGTTCGAAGAGTTTATACTTAAATAATATATAAAATCACTATTATTAAATTCTGGTGATAATTATTCCTAAATTTCCTATAACATATTATTGTAATAATTAATCATAGAAGGTGGATTTTATTTTTTTATTGTGCAGAACTTTCGGGCAAGCTGTTATTTGTGTAAACGACAGCATTCCTATAGACTCGTATTTCGACCCTTTCTTTAATTATATTGTAACGGAAAACAATGTATAAACGACACCATACCATATTAAATTTATGCCTCTACCTAATTTATTTTTGTTTTCAATGATAAGAGTGTTACAATATTTTTAATTTTATGAAATTTACATAAATAAATTCTTTCAATAAAAGAATAAAAAGATTGTGAAGTATGCTAATAAATATGGAATTATAAATATTTTATTATTTTTTTATAAATATTTAAAAATAAAAAATGTTTCCATAAACAAATAAAAAAAATAAGAAAGAAATTTCAAATAATAATGACACTAATTACAAATATGAAAGCAAAAATATAGTATTATTTTATTTTCTTATATTTCATAAATCCTAAAATTTTCATGGTTATTAATTATAGTATGAAATTTGAATTATGCAAATATTTTGTGCATTTAAAAAGCCCATGGAAGGAAAGTGGCGCTTGTTATTGATTGACTTCAAGGAATCACGTGGTGCACAAGACAAGTAAATGGAAATAACTATATTTTATTTAAAATCATAACAATGGACACAATGTTTGGACTTGGAGCAAAAAAACATTGACTGGTTAAAAATATATATGTTGATGACATGACACGAAAGCAATGAAATAATAACTACTGATTTTTTTAAATGCACTATAAAATATCAGTTAGCATTTATAAAAACTTTAAAGTCCAATGGTTTAGCTTCGTTTGTAATAATTAATAAAATAAATTATTCTTTATAATTTTTTTCTTATACATATATATTTTTTACTCTTAAAATTTTAATTGTTGTTTTATGTTACATATTATATTAATTATATTTGGGAAAAAAAAGTGGAGAGAAGTAGGAAGCAACTTACACATAAAACACATAAAATAAAAGCTTAAAAATTAGACTATCAGCGTCTTAATGTCATATAGGAACACAAGTGACGTAGGTAAAAGAGGTAATCATTGGTACCCTCAACGTTGGGAGTTACCAATGATTTGGATTAGGAGAATAAAAATGTCTAGCAACATGAGATAATCAAAATTTTATGTTCTTTTCAATGTTCCTCAACTTGTAGTATTTATTGTGCATGTAGCAATCGGGCCTTTACTCTTTTATTACAAACTTTTTCCATGAAATTATTAGGCATTAGATATAGGTTACAAAAATCTTATTTTATTAAAAATGTATTCACAAAATAATGTTTTCGTATAATGAAAAAACTCCCTTTTATTATTGCTTTTACCAAAAATATTAAAATGACAAACATTATTTTCAAAATGAATTATATCAAATTAAAGAAATTGATAGAATTGAAAAAATCAATTATATTTTTAGGTTGAATTAATATTGAATAAAAAAAGTAAAGATTTTTTTAAAATATTTTTATTTTATAAAAGACATAATAATTTTTATTTAGCTTGCATAATTTACATTAACTTTAAATAATATATATTTTATTATATAATTTTTTCATCAGATTTTATTTTTTATTAAATTTTGTATTTTTATAATAATAATAATAATAATTATTATTATTATTATTTAAATAACTTTAATTATTATAATTATTCTTCATTTATAATAATAATTATTATATTTTTATATTATTATATAATAAAAAAAATTATTTTATTAAATCTAAGTAGACCATTTAAATATTAAAAATATGAGCTTATATACTCACCTATTAAGCTAATATATTTTTTAGTCTAAATTTGTATTATCAAAAACAATTTTAAAAAATTTAAATTATTTCAAAATTTTAAACTTGAAGTTTTAAATACAATTTCCATTTGTATGGTTATATTTATCTTAGTTGTATTATTTAAAAGTAAGCTTAACTTAATTTAATATTTGAAAAAAATTATTTAATTTAGTTTAATTTAAATTTGTTTTATGTTAATAAAATCATTTTGATAAAAACATGTTAGTTTAACTTATATTATCAATTTGAAAAAAAAATTAAATCATATCGAAACCAATTATTGACATTTGTATCATTCACTATTAAAAAAAATAAAAAATATGTTAATTTATCTTTTAATAATATTTTATAAATTAAGATTGAAAATAATTTTTAGTAATTTGTTTTATATATAAAAATTATCTATAATTAATAAGTGTGTTAAAATAAAATTAATCTAATCAATTGAATTGAAAGATGTAAAAATTATGACTTATAGTTTAGTCCGTATATTTGACATATATGTCTTATAAAATAATAACTATTTTTTAAATAAAATAAAAATAATATTATATATATATATATATATATATATTATAAATTAATTTAAGAAGGAATTAACTTACTTTAAAAACAAATAGAAAGATAAATCTCTAATAATCATTTATTCTAAAATCTAATAATTAAGATTAATTTTTATTTTAAATTAATAATTACTAAAAAATAAACAATGATAATAAAGAATAAGTTTTTAAATTTTATTTTAAAATTGAATGAATAGATACTCTTATAATTATATATTAAAAAATTATATCTTAAATAAAATTTAATTTTATTAATAAATATAATTTTTTAGAATATATTTTTATTTAAATATTTTTTACTTGATATTGCATGTGTTCTATATATATATATATATATATATATATATGTATATATATGTATATATATATATATATGTATATATATATATATATGTATATATATATATATATGTATATATATATATATATATATATATCAAATTCTTTTTAAGAAAACAAAGATAATGGAAATTAGATGACATCGAGATTCATTTGTTTAATTGCAGATGAAATGTAAAAGAAAGTCTTTTGTCATGCGTTCACACGGCACATGTGAACATGTTTCTTCTTTCTTGGTTGAACGGTGAAAAATTCTTCATTTGAAGTCAATTCCAGAGCTAACAACAAAACATCACGTATCAAATTAGGTGTTAAAATATCAACCATTCCTTCATTGCTTTACCCCGAATGACCCTAACTCATTGGATAATATTTTTAAAAAAATAAAAATTAATAAAATATATAAAATTAGAAAGCGAAATAAAAACTTTTCATATAGAAACACACCTTTACCCTCTCTGTATAGATCCGCCACTATCTTTACACCAGATTCAAATTTATATCCCAATTTGTCAATTTTCAATTACAGTGATGAAGAATGTAAACCTAGCCCACGCATCTCTTTCTAACCACATCACAACATAATACGATAAATTAAAGTTCTATTTCATGACACATTGATATTATGAATTTGAACTTTATTTCAAAAATATTTGTGAAATTAAATGGTTTAAGTGGTTGTTAACATTTAATAATACTACTTGTAATTTCACAAGATAGCTTTTTTAATTTTTATTTTAGGAAAGTTTATTGTCCATAATTTTAAGCACGTGGTTGGACTCGGAGAAAAGTTGACTGACTCTTGTACTAACAAAGTCAAGGACAGGGATGTCTCATAACATCATCAATTATCAACCTCTTACACTCAGATTCATCTAACCATCCTCAATCCCCAGAAAGAGAGATTAGTATTAAATAACACTAATTTAATAATTTATATTCACTGATTTAAATAATGCAAAAATTCATTGAAATGTTTAAATTAATATAATCAGCATGTAATCAAGATAGTTGTACTTTAATGAGTACTGGGCAATATATTTTGAGTGAAGAAAGGATGTTTCTTTATGCAGCTCCATAATTTTTTTTCTGCATCCCATAATTAATATAAATTCCATTTTATTATTATATATTTTTTAAATTCATGGTATTGAACACAAATTAATAAAGAGAATACTGCAAAAAAGTAAAAATAGAAAGATCAAAAGGATTTGGGCCAATATATTTCCCGGTGACCAAATGATAATTTCAAGTGATGTTCTACTAAAAGTTGTACCCCTTTATTAGTGATTCTTAGTATGACAACATGTATCAACCTTTACAAAAAATCATGAAAAATAAAAGGGTAAAAATTTTTCATAGAGATTTTACTTATTAACAATGTTTATTGGATTAGAAGGAGGAATACCATGGAGTTCTAGAAGTATTAGATTTGCCATAATAGCCTATTTATTCCTCTTTGTCAAAATCAAATTATTTTAATCCTTACCACATCTTAATCAATATATCACAAGTAATAAGGCACTGCCAAATTTCAATGCAATTTAAATGTGTTTTACTCAATTTAGTGAGAATATTATTTTTCATAAATAACATTTGAATTGTATTTGTATCTAAACTTGTTTTAATTTTGAATATATTTTATTTATTCATTAAGATGTAATCTCCGTTTTTTATTTTGACCTGGAGGTGAAAAAGATAAATATGTAAAACAGATATATATTATCAAATGTTAAATTAAAATGTATAAGCAGGTTTGCCCGAGAGGTTAAGGGGGAAGACTTAAGATCTTCTGCACATAAGTGCGCGTGGGTTCGAACCCCACAGCCTGCAAATTTATATATTTTTCTTTTTAAGTTTTAAAATTTTTTACAAATAAAATTTATTGCATTTATTTTTTTTCTCTTTCTTTTTAAGTTTTAAAATATAATTTATTTATTTATTTTTCTTTAAAATTTACTTATTTAATTTATTTATTTTTCTCTTAAAAAACAACTTTTTTTAAGTTTTAAATTTTTTTAAAATAAAATTTATTTCATTTATTTTTTTAATTTTTTTTCTTTTTAAGTTTTAAATTTATTTATTTCATTTTTTTCTCTTACAAAAACAACTTTTTTTTCTTTTTAAGTTTTAAAATTTTTTACAAATAAAATTTATTTTTCTTTTTAAGTTTTAAAATACAATTTATTTATTTCATTTATTTGTTTTTCTCTTACAAAAACAACTTTTTTTTCTTTTTAAGTTTTAAATTTTTTTACAAATAAATTTATTTTTCCTTTTAAGTTTTAAAATAAAATTTATTTATTTCATTTATTTATTTTTCTCTTACAAAAACAACTTTTTTTCTTTTTAAGTTTTAAAACTTTTTACAAATAAAATTTATTTTTCTTTTTAAGTTTTAAAATAAAATTTATTTATTTCATTTATTTTTTTCTCTTACAAAAACAATTTTTTTTCTTTTTAAGTTTAAAATTTTTTACAAATAAAATTTATTTCATTTATTTTTCTCTCTTTCTTTTTAAGTTTTAAAATATATTTTTTTCTTTTAAATTTATTTATTTCATTTATTTTTTTCTCTTAAAAAAACAACTTTTTTTTCTTTTTAAGTTTTAAATTTATTTATTTCATTTTTTTCTCTTACAAAAACAACTTTTTTTTTCTTTTAAGTTTTAAAATTTTTTACAAATAAAATTTATTTTTCTTTTTAAGTTTTAAAATAAAATTTATTTATTTATTTGTCGTTAAAATTTATTTATTTCATTTATTTTTTGTTCTCTTAAAAAAACAACTTTTTTTTCTTTTTAAGTTTTAAATTTTTTTAAAAGTAAAATTTATTTCATTTTTTTCTTTTTAAGTTTTAAAAATATTTAAAAATAAATTTTATTTCATTTTTTTCTCTTAAAAAATATTTTTTTCTTTTTAAGTTTTAAAATTTTTTAAAAATAAATTTTATTTCATTTATTTCTTTTCTCTTAAAAAAATAAAAAAATAGATATTTTATTTGTTATAAATTAGGTAATTATTTTAATATTTTATTTTGATATTAAAATGTGAAAAAAAAGTTTAAATTAAAAAAAAATGAATATAGGTGGGTATCCTCATCTAAAATTCATAATTCTATCTTACATATTTTAATTTTAGTGAAGTTTGATTAATTATTACAGCCGTGTATTTTTACTTTTCGTATTGAAAAAATTTTCCATCATAAAAATATTAATACTCTTATGATTATTCTTATATTTTTTTTTATTATTATTTCTCATATATTCTTCTAATATTAAGGAAATAATTTCTATTAGGTACCTTGATATTTTTTTATTTATTACTGCAGTGTTATTTTTCTATCAGATTCAAGAATCATTTATCATTGACTTCACAAAGAGACTCCTCACCGCACTTTACAAACCAGACACTCCAATCTCTCTTTCTCTCTCAGACTTTCTCTCAGCTAAGGGGAGATGTAGTTGCTAAACTGAAAAATTCTGAACATTTTTTCTTTCAGGTAATCAAATCTTAGTCCTCACTGCTGTTTGTTTTTCTTTTTGTTCCTACGAAACAAAGAAAAATCTTACGAAGACACCCTTCATGAGGGGTTAATGCTGCTTCTCTCTTCACTGTTTCTCTCATGAAGAGAGTATCATTTATGGCTTTTTTCTTTTTTTATTGTGTGTTTTTATTGTTAATATTATTGTCCGAGACAAGATCCTATTACAGATACCCAGAAGTCACTGTTATTTGCTTACTAAATATCTTATTTGAAAACTTTTTTAACATAATATCATTTGCTTTTATGCTTTCTTCTGCAGTTTCTGAAAAGAGTCTTATTTACTGTGTCTTCTACCTCTCTTGGAGCATTAGGAGTGCCACATTTAATAAAATATAGAAAAGGTACAAAGGTAGTGTATAATTACCAAAAAGGCACTCCAAATTGTGTTAGAAAATTATCATTGACCTTGACCATAAATCTTATGACCTTGTCAAAGTGTACTGTGGACGATTTTTATTGGATATAAAATCTGCTTAGGATTTTATCAAGTCAACTCAATTAACAAATATTGGACGGAATGAGTCTAGTTTTTGTATATTTTTAAATGTAATTCAACTTAATTTTACTAATCAGATTAGATTAAGTTTAATTAGTTTAGATAATAATCTTTTATAAAAAAGTTCTTATTAAACTTTTTAATTTCAAAATATATATTTTAAACTTTGTTAAAATACATTTTAGAAAATAAATTATATTAATTAATATTTAAATAATTTAGTATTTTAGAAATACATATTTAATTAATAAAATAATTGAATAATTAAATAATAGATATTGATATTTTTCTTCTTATTAATGTTAATACTTTTTAATAATTTTAATTGAATTGGAATAAATTTTGATTTAATAATTTTAATAATTTAAACATATTAAATCCATCATTCATTGAATCTTAAAAATAGAACTCAATTCAATATATTTAAATTAGATTATTTCATATTAAATAGTTACATTATGGAATCCAATAATCTTCAATACTTTCCCAGATTGTATGTCACCAATTTGTACCATATTTTAATATCTTGCTTTCACTCTTATTCAATTTCGTGTCACCAAATGTGTAAACTAATTTATACAAAAATGCTCAATTCAAAAATAAAACACAAATTTACAGGAATGTTCAAAATATAATTGCTTGTAATTAGGCTTAAATTTTAATTAAAATTTGGTATTAAGGAGTGATTATATTACTTTTGATTGGAGATTATTGGTGCAAGCACTCTCTTGCATAATGTTATTTGATATGTGTTTTGTTGACAGAGAATGGGTACAGCAGAGCCTGTATCTTTCCAACAGCAACTCCAACAGAGGGTTGCTTATTCAGCTCACTTTAGGAGACCTCTCCTTCATCTAGTGTCCCCTCGTAAGCTCTTTCTCTTTCTTAAAATTTCTCAACTTCACAAAAATGTTAGTAATTATGATTTTGGTTACATCATTTTTCAATCCTCTAATGGAATTTATGATTTAGAAAATGGTAAAAATAATTAAGGGAATTTAAACCCGTTGTATATAATATAATTCTATTATAACTCAAGCAATTTTACTGGTTTGGTGATTTAGGTTTATTAATTTACATTAAAATTGTAACCATAGCTGCAATCACATTCCATGAACCACAGTAATCACTACTCCAAGATGCATAGGGTTCTATGTCAAATGTTTAGACGCTGAAGTGATTTCCACAAATAAACTTGTTGCAGAAGATGGTAATGGAAGATACCTTAGCCAATGTGTTCCCCTTTACAATGCAGCACTGAAAGGTGACTGGAAAAAAGCTACCATAATCTTGGACCAAGACTGGAAGCTGCTTACATCTGCCATAACAAAGGGGTGGGCCACAGTACTGCACATAGCAGTGGGAGCAAACCATGTTCACTTTGTGGAGGAGCTACTAAAGTTAATGCAACCTGATGAATTGGAATTGCAAGACTTCAAGGGTAACACTGCATTCTGCTTTGCTGCAGCAGTAGGGAATGTGCAGATTGCTGAGATGATGGAGAGAAAAAATGAATCATTGCCAACAATCAGGGGTGGAGGAGCACTCACTCCTCTTCACTTGGCTGTTTTACAGGGAAGAAGTGAAATGGCGTGGCATCTGTTCCCTAAAACCAAACAAATATTTGAAGAGGTGGACTGGACTTCAATTTTCTTTATTTGTATAAACTGTGGCCTATACGGTAAGCATTTGTTGTTGAAAAATCTTGCATGCACACCATTAAATTTTCTTTATTTATTTGTTGTTGGAACCAAGATATTCTTCTAACTTATGTTTTACTGAATGAAAAAGAGCTTTTTCACCAGACGAGAGTTTCTTGTTCTTAGAGAAATAGGTGTTAACCATTCATCAAACATGCACTCATTTACCTAAAATACCTTCATTCACTGATTACATTTTTTAGAAATGTCAATCTTTTAAGATGAATAACGTTATTTTGATGGTGTCATTAGAATTTGCAATCCACACAAGTTGGACTATCTTGCAGATTTAGCCCTGGAAATGCTAAAGGAAAAAAACACGTTAGCCTATGCTCGAGGTGAGGACAATTTGACAGGTTTGCATGTTTTGGCTCGAACTCCAGGTTGTGGTCGCCAAAGTCTACATTTCTGTAAGTGACATACAATTAACATTCACCAAAAATAGGATAATCATGACTTTGCATTGTTTCGAATTTGTCCACTATCTATTGGTTTTGTTAATTATACCCTATATTTTTTCAGCAAGGTTAGTTTTTGTTTTGTTCCTCTTGCGCACAAAGTTTTTTCAGTGATTTTGTTTTCATAATTCTCAGATAAGAAGGAAACTCCTCTTCTGAAACTTGTAAAACAAATGTGGGATATAGTTGTTTCCCTGGATGACCAAATGATGAAGCATACCCTCTCGGAACCATCTCATGTAATATTTATTGCTGCAGAAGGTGGGAATTTTGAATTTCTATCCGTGATCTTGAGCACTCACCATGATTTGATATGGGAACTAGATACCAAGGATCGAAGTATAATCCACATTGCTGTTTTGTATCGTCATGCTAGTATCTTCAATTTGATACATGAAATCAGCTCTACCAAAGAGATAATTTTAACATTTAAAGATGATGAAGGGAACAATTTACTGCATCATGCTGCGCAACAAGCATCACCAGATCGACTTAATATGGTTTCTGGAGCAGCTCTTCAAATGATGTTTGAGTTAACATGGTTTGAGGTACAGTCCGTGTTTGTTTTCCAAGCTTATTCTTTTTATAGGCATATATTGTAGCATTCTTCTATGTTGATTCACGCCTTTTCATTTCCTATTACTTGAGTTATATGGTTTCATCACAATGCTAGACATAACTAATCTATAGAGCAGTTTTATCAAAAGTTATTTAAAGAGAAAACAGTGAAAGAGTTAAAATTGAGTTCCAAAGTTAATCCTAACGATATTAAGAGAATTATGGGTATCCTTGATATGACAGGAGGTGAAGAAGATAATGCCACTGTCCTCCATAGAGGAACCAAATTCTAGCAGCATTACTCCTCGCCAACTATTCACCACGGAGCATAAAGAATTGCTGGAGAAAGGAGAGTCTTGGATGAAGAGAACTGCAAAGTCTTGCATGGTCGTTTCAACTCTGATTACTACTGGAGTTTTCACTGCTGCATTCAGTGTTCCAGGTGGTATTGACGAGGACAATGGTGGAAGTCCCAATGACTTGCAGAAACCAGCATTCTTGGTATTTGCATTATCAAATTCCATTGCCTTCATCACATCATCAAGTTCAATCCTAATCTTCTTGTCCATTCTAATCTCTCGATATGCGGAGGATGATTTTCTCACCTCACTGCCCTTAAAGCTTCTGTGTGGTCTTCTGTCACTTTTCATTTCCATAGTTAGCATGATGGTAGCATTCAGTAGTGGCTTCTTCGTAACATATTACCATGGTGTGAAGTGGGTTCCTAACCTCATTTCTGCACTTGCTTTTGTACCAATTCCTGTGTTTACATTCTTACAGTTTCGCCTCTGGTCCGACATCGTGTATTCAGCTTACATATGTAGTTTTCTATTCAGACCAAGTAAACGTATGATTCACTAGGAAGACTCTCCAGTGTTCTGATGTGTGTTAATGTTGTAAGAATACATTAAATATAGAGTTAAGCAAGTTTTACATCTAATGTATGTTAGTATTAACATTTTTTTTTTTCAAATTTGACTAACTAATAAATTAATCATTTTTATTATTTATGCATCCATTAAATCGTTTCATGTGTGTTATATGATTTATTTTCTCCATTTTTGAATTATGTTAAAATTTTATTGACACAGAGATAGGAATTTGGTACAATATTATATCATATATGCCTTTTCAACAGAATGATTCTATTAATAAAATTGACAATTGAAGTAGTATGCTGCGATGAATTAACTCACACAGTATATCCCTATTCATCTACCCATGCATGATACTACAAAACCAGAGTCTTCAATTCATATTGGCCACAAAAAAATGTTTGCTTTTTACAGCATTTTCCCATTTCCCTCACAAATTTGGTTCAAATTTCAAACATAGAAACCTTGTCTGTCATATTCATATCTGGGTTGCTACTTAATTACTATTCTTTTCTGGGTCCATCCGAATAATTTTTGTTTGGATAATCTTATTCTTTCTCATCCCCTCATCACTTCATCCAAGGAAAAAACCTAAACATAAAGGCAACGTAGGGTAAGGGAACTCTCAAAACGCCCCTTGGATGTTCTAAAGGTCAATTAAATTTTATCTTTTTGCCAATTCAACTGTGTCAGATTATGCAGCTACCAAGATCTTATATTATTCAAGATGATCTTAATTTGCATGCGACACAAAACCCTTTTTTTTTTTTGCCTATAAAATAGGTCGTGGTTAAGTACCTGAATAAGATGGTTTGTTCTTACCAACATTTTAGTTTATTTTTTATGAGAACCCATTTTTGTTTTCTTGATTCATCTACATGTTTAGAAAACGGACGACCACATAAAAAATCAATATGAAGTAAATTTATATATTTGATTTTCATCACTAAAACAAAGTCAATTTATGAAGTAAAATTTGAATTTAACTAATAAACCTAATTTATTTTAATCATAGTTGTTGATGCCATATCATATGTTCGTTACGTTCTTTTATAAGTTATAATTAGTTTATGCATACTTTAATTTATAAAAGTTATCTCATATAATATTTTTCATTAATATATTATGAAGTTTATCTTATAAAGAAATAGATTTTCATTTTATTTACAAAAAATTATTTAGATATGCTCAGGTGGAAAAATATATGGTCCATTTTGTTGTATAAACGCAATTATTAATATATATATATATATATATATATATATATATATTATAGTAAAATATATATGATACTATTTTACTTTTAAAACCTTAAAAACAAAACTGATAAATGTTTATTAATTTATATTAACGGTTTTATTAATAATTACATGAAAGTTATGTTCATCAAGTTATTATCAAAATTATGTTACGATTTGTTTTAATTTTATTATTTTTTCTATAAAATAATTTAAAAAAAAGAATTATTAAACATATTTATTTAATTTTTTTTAATAGTCCTTAATATTTGATTGACCATATTATGAGTGATTTAGTAAATTCTAACTTTGACTTCTCGTCCAAATTTCACACCTTGATGCTCTGCTCACAGACTATTATTCATTTTATCTTGGCATTTGTTTCATTCAAATAATGGTGTTTTCATTATAAGTTTTGTAATTTACGTTTCACTGATCAATGTGATAAAGACATGGAACATGGTTCTTAACTTCCAAAAAGAAAAGGAGAATAGGAATTATTATGTAAACGATGAATTAGAGGTTGGGGGCGTGATGAACTTGGCGTTTTATTCTTGGGCAATTTCTTCATCTATTAAGATTTGTGGGCATGAACGTATGAGCTAAAAAGGTTTAAAGGGTGACGACAAAGTCGGTGCACTTTTTTTGACTGAATTTCTAAACCCATGTAGAGTGTTATTATTCGTTCAGAGTTTGAATGAACTAAATCTTGCTTTCCACCCTTTAATTGCAATCCTAAAACCATTAATTTGATTCTCCACTTCTGAGATAATGACATTCACCCTGTTTCATCAATTCATGATAAGAAAAAAAACTATTTACATCCTTGTCACTATTTTATACTTTCTTTTGTGTGTAAAATCTTTGATGCTCGTAGTGTAGGACAAAAATTTAAATATAAGCTCATATTTATTTAAGTTGATTATTCTAATGTGTTCATTAATATCATATAATTGAGAAATTATATATTAATATTCTAAAAAGGATAATATCTCAAACATAATAATTTATCTTTAATGATGATATTATAACAAATATTTTTATTATCCATTTTTATTGTAAAATAGAATAAATTTTTATTTTACTCATATCTTTTCATATTTGACTGAAGCATTGTATTTTCTCATCATTTATATACATCCTTACTTTTTAGTTCTTCTTATATTTTTTAGGAATAAAATTATAATAGATTAGTGTTCCAAAATAAATAACAATATTATTATAGCTGACAAGAACTCTAAATAGTTAGTTCTTGTAAAGAAAACCTATATTAAATAACTAAAAATTTGATTTTTAGGAAGTATTCATAGATAAGATTAACCTTTTATATTTAATTACGGTGATTAATTCATTCCGGGTAATCCCAAGCAGAACCAATGACTTGTTACGAGGGTTCCTCAAAATGTGTTCAAGTATAGAATTTGATGAAAATGGTGATAAGTTTATCCAACTTGTTTTGTCTTTATTAATTTGTTTTTTCTCACCTAAATTGGTTCGCACTATATTTCCGTTTAGTTTATTTATTCAATATAAAAATGTTGACCAATTAAGGGTTGTGACCATGAAAACCAGCTGTTTTACATAGATTGGATACTCCCAATGAAAAATTTTCCGTCAATATTGAAGTTCATAAAGATTTATTCTTTAAGCAAATATATTTTGCATTCGATCGAGAAAGTCTACAAATTACAGATGTCTTCTAATCATACAGTTATATTAATTAAAATTTCTTATAAGCTATCATATGAATCAAATTGAGGAACAGTTAAAAGGCAATTCATGCATTTTGACCAGATAAAATCAATGGCAAGAAGGAAGTGATAAACTGATGAATGCACTGAATATGTGCATATCCTTTTCCTTTCGGTAATGGAAAGACCATCAAGGTTACTGATAAATGTTGGGAATTCTCTAGTTGAAATTCTGTTCTGCTTTTAAGATGAATATATATGTTAGTTACACTTTTGGGTAATTTCTGATACCCTCCCTCCACTTTGCAAGATGCTGTGTCATGCAATGGGACAAGATTTTTGAGTCTATATATATTTTCTCTTTCTGGAAAAGAAGATTTGGCTATCTCTGTGTTCATATTTATTACTCCTGTGGGTGGCTAAAGTTATTTCTTTAACCTGTGAATTTATGCGAGTATCTTTATCTAACATTTAATTATCACACTATAGATGCCAATGACAATATTTTACAATTTTAAGATCATCAATGAGTATTTAGTAATAGTATGGGGTGGTTTTAAACCTCTATATGTGACTTAATAAAGTTTGGTTGCTTTTAGCTTTCATCTTTCTTCTGATTCTCTTGCATTTCGTTTTATAATTCACTTGAAAACAACGTTAGACAAAAACTATTAGTGTTCTGTACTTCGGTTGTGTCAACAGATAATATGGTTTCAATCCTAATAGTTATAATAAATAATGAAAAACACAAACTACATGCAGGGTTGTTTCAACTTAACATGTAATTCGGAGTAAGTCTTGGTTATGTGTAACTATGTTAAATACTTGGGCTCAAACAAATTGTTTTCTGTTGAAGATATTTGTAGTCTCAAAACAAAACAAAAAACAAATAATGACCTTGCATGGCAGCATTTGGACAAATTAGATTCAAATCTTATTCCTGAAGCCTTCAGGAATATATGACAACACTTTATGCCATAAGGCTAGAATTTAGCCTAACCATTCTTACCTTTCCAATCTTCTTGTGCATTTTCTGGTTCTTGTTTTCTTCTTCCCTTCACCGTTCAAAAGGGTGCCCCTTAATAAGGATAAACCTCTCATAGATTCATGTATGCTACCTCTGAAATTTGAACTGTTATTGAGTAACTCTTCTTGCCATCGTTGTTCAAATCTTGTGGGGACATTTGGGGTTGTCTATAAATGAACGACTACAAGATTGATTGTGTTGGACGGATTCAACAAAGCTTTGGTTTAAATGGGGATTTTAATTCAGAGTTTGGCAGTTGTTCTAGTCAATATTTTGATATCATACAGGCTTCAAACATGGCAAGTTGCAATCAGCCACTTGCTATTGCCAGTGGTGGAGGGATGGAACAGGAACCACACACAGGCCAAATCAAATCATCTAGCAGCATTATCAGCCGTTTTGAGTCACCAGCTTCAGCCTTTTATGCAACAGAAATCTGCATGGGTTTCCCACAATATGATAGACTAGTTGGTAATCCCTCTTTGATATCTCAATTTTCTAAGATTAGTGATGTGGAATTCCCTTTGTATCAAGCTCCCAAGCAAAACCTTTTCTTGGCTTCATTGGCAAACCAACCTGCTCCCAACTTTGAGTTGTCAAATCCCTTGCAAGCAATGCTCATATCTCATGTGAGTCGTGATCAATGTATTAGATCTCCTGAAAAATCCAATAAAATTCCATGTGGGAATTTCCTTGGCAGCAGTTTTCTTCCAATCGAACAACCTAAGTTGTTCATTGATGCTGCTGCAAGCCCTTCAATTCCTTCTAAGGGAAATCAGGATCAAACAGTAAGTTTTTTACCAACTCCTTATCTAGTTTTCTGTATTTTCCAATCAGCTCATGTTGTCGTTGCTTCTTTTCTATCCTGCAGGATTCTTGTGCCTCATATAATTTACCTGCTACACAGATTATCTTCTCTTCTCAGCAAGAGATGCTGTCACCAACACTCTCAGCAGGTAGCTTGTTAACTTCTTCTGGAAACTCTACTTCAAATGGACCAGTGGTCTCAAGTAAAACAAGAATAAGATGGACTCAGGAACTTCATGAGAAGTTTGTTGAGTGTGTGAATCGCCTTGGAGGTGCTGAGAGTAAGGGCTTGTTTTGATTCCCTTTCTATTTTGGAAACTATTTTCTAAAGTAAGGACTCAGCAATTAATTTCTCATCTATAATCTATAAAGTTCTGAAAACCATTTCTAAAACAAGTGTTTTAAAAAATGAAAAGAAAAGGAAAAAACTGGGAGATGTTTCCTAATCTTCTTTTGTTTTCATCTTGTTTAACCTCTTCCTCAATTTCACTCTCATATATGCCTTACGCCATCCTCTTCCAGCTTTAAAGTAACCTTGTTTAATTGCATTTTTAGAACAAACATAGACCAAGTATCCTGCTAAACTTTTCATTGCATAAAACAAATATTCAACATCTGATGGTCTTCTTGATTGTAGAAGCAACGCCAAAAGCAATATTGAGGCTAATGGAATCAGATGGATTGACCATCTTCCATGTTAAAAGTCATCTGCAGAAATATAGAATTGCCAAATACATGCCACAATCAACTCAAGGTAATTTCTTAGCACTGTAGTTTCTATATCATGCCAAATATATTTTGGTGCTCGAAATTGATATCAAATATGATTATAAGAATTTCATCTCAATCCAAATTCCAGTACCCTCGATCAAAAGTGACAATAAATAATAACTCATTCACCAAAAGAGACTATAACTCACACAAGTATTCACATACTCACTCACACATGCTCTCTTTCTTCTCTTGCTTTTGTTCGGAATGATTCATCTTCTTCCATGACCCTCTTTACATGAAAATAGATTCATTACAACATCATAAATGAGACTAAATGAACATCGATTGTCCCACATTCCACTAATCTTCGTTATGAATAGTCCAGAAACATACTTTTCACTTACTTTCCGTTTATTAGAAAATTTAATCGTTTTCATATATAACAATAATGAGCGATTGTTTATGATATAGTCTTTGTCTAAACAGAGAATGTGGCTGTAAATTGTGTGGTTGTTAATATCTTCACACTTAGCCAGCTTAAGCTGAAAGGGTAAAAATATTCCTTTCTTGATTGAATATACTCGAGGTATAGAAGGTTGAACGTACGAAATAAACTTATATATTTTTTTCGTGAATGGTAGAAAGCTTGAATTATTAAATGTCAAATTGAGTGTACTTTCTCAGCTAGATGATAATGATACATGAAATTACCACGACAATTGAATGAATGTTGTGAAAATTACCTCTACTGCATTATTATTCTCCCGTTATTCATGTTCTTCAATGCCCTTATCGCTGTTATTGATTTTCAAATATGTTATCGTGTTTCAGGGAAATCTGAGAAAAGAACCAATGTAGAGCATGTGCATCTTGATGCCAAAACGTAACTCTACTTCTTTTTCCTAAGCCAGTGCTACCATTCTACAATTCAAATACTTGCAGTCATGGTTATTTTCATATTTTCATAAGATGCTGTTACTCTAATCAACTAAATTTCTTGTTCTTCATTAGCAGTGGATCGCAAATTAGAGAGGCACTTCAGTTGCAGCTAGATGTTCAGAGGCATCTTCATGAACAGCTAGAGGTATATATCCTTGCCATGTATATCATTACTTTTTGACAAGTATATCTCCATGTTCTCCAAACACAATGTTCATCCGGACACGTGGTTGATGACATTGTAAATATAGTCAAACTTTGTAAATGAGGACTCCTTGGCAATGTTCTGACTTCAATTTTTCCTTCACTTTTTCCAGATTCAGAGAAAATTACAGCTGAGGATTGAGGAACAAGGTAAGCAGCTGAAAATGATGTTCGACCAACAGCAGAAGACAAGTGTTTGCAACTTGAGTACTCAGAATTTGAGCAATACAACTAATAATAATAGACCTTTTAGTTCTAAAGACGTTGAGGTTTCCATTTCTGAAGGGTCTGAAAAATCCTTATCCCTTCCAACATAAGTTAGATCTCCATTCTCATATGTTCATAGCTCTATACGTAAGCAATTATTTCAGTGACACAGTGTGCCAACAAATCATACTCCTTGTAAGAGAGTCAGACCACACCATACAATTTCATTTTGGGAAGTAAAGCACTCTTGTTATCCTGCAAGTGCAAACTCAATAAATTTGTCTATATAAGATGCATGTGCTACTTTTTTATTACTTCAAAAACACATCATACTTGGTTCATTGTAATTTTCATTAATTGAGCTTTTCTGTTTCAGTTCAGCAGAATCCTGTTGTCTTGTTTACTCTGCATTTCCTTTATCTTCAGGGCATGCAGTCAGCAGAGGAGAAACAAATACATTATACAGCATTAAAAGTAACATCACTGCAGATATCTAGTTTTTGAAATGTGAACATGTGGCAAATACCCCCATAAAAAGACTAAAACAATCTGCATCTAAAATTTTCATTGAACCCTTTTCCCCTACTTCTTAACAATTGAAGACGTCAAAATCTAATCTAGTGGTATTTATAATCGTTGCTATTGCAAATATTTATATCTCTTAAGAAGATGAAGGATTTTTAGTTAGGGCTTTTAAATCAAATCAGATAGCAGACAGATAGACATAAAGTATTGACATATTTAAAATCTTGTTTTTATTAATGAGGTCTTACTTTCATTAATAACTATATTAATTAAGCTAATGTAAAAAGTTTCAGTCCTCCTGCTTCATTCTGGGTGAAACTTTTTGTTTACAAAAATTATGAAATTATAAGAAGGTGACCAATCAAAAGGCCAGAATCTTTCCTTTTACTATCTCTCTCTCTCTTTTAAAATTATTTGTGAAATTTATGATAAAACACGTCTCTTACTCGAGCCACCGTTGAAGCATATTCATTAAAAGCCAACCAAGCTTGTATAAATTGATATCCACCAAAAGAAAAATATAATAAAAAATCTGAATTTTGTCTTGTTCTCTTGATGTAAAAAAAAAAAAAAAATCTAATAAACTTGTTGATGTAACTTATTGTAAGAATTAATTTATTTGATGAAACTCAAAATGTGTTTTTGAAAAAAAAATATTAAATTATTCTTGAAATTTTTATTTAATAGAATATGTAATATGATATCTCATGTTCTTTGATTTTCAAGAAGAAAACACTTATTATTTGAAAATAAGAGTTAACGAATTATTAAAAAAACAGTTGTACATTTTATTTAAAAAGTTGATGTATTATTATTTATGATGGATTATATTGTTCTTCCCTTTTGAAAATTTAACATGATAAAACTAATTGATTATTTTAGATGACAAACATCTATTTATGTATATTATTTAGAATACCTCCATATAATTAATTACATATTTATAATAATTAATTATGAATTAAAAATAATTAATCATCTGCGAGTTTAAGTTTTTTTTTCTAATATAAACTTTAAAAAATAATTGATTAAGCTATTATTTAATCGATCAAATGATTATTAAGTAATTTTATAAAAATGTTTTTAATAGTTATTACTATTCATAGATTAAGTAAATACAATCTACTTAGCCTAATAATATATTTTATTATTATAATAATATTATTAATAGAAACTTATATTATAATTAATTCATATAAAATATTATTTGTATCATATTTAATTTAATTTTACTTCTATTAAAAAGTAAATTACATTATAACTATTTTAACATTGATTCAAAAAGATAACTTTTAAAGAGTAATTTATATCTAAAATCAGTCACAATAAAACAAACTTTTATTACATGTATTTTGATTAAATTACGCATCAGAAACATATTATTATCGCCTTAATAAAATTATCTTGAAAACATATTTATTTAGGTTGCATTAAACTTTTACGAAAAAAATATATAGAGTTAGCAAACTTTTTTCATTTTGTATTGCTTTGATACACCCTGCTACAAAATAGAAACAAGTTTCACTTTTTTTTTTCATAATGGTCCTTTATAATAAAATTTTATTTATTTTTTATTAATTTTATTAATTATATATAATATTTTTAAATATTAATTATAATAATTTTTTAATTATGACAATTTTATTTTTTTCGATAAAAAAAATTAAAAAAGAAATTTTATCATATATAATTATAAATATTATTTTTTAAAGAAAAATTATAGATCAGCAAAGAGTTAAACTTAGTACAAAAATAGGTGTAAATAGCAATGCCCCTAATCTACGCATTTACTTAGCATTTATATCTTCAGAAATTAAATTGCAAAAATTAACCCGAAGAACTAAAATTTTCATCACCAAAAGGGAACTATGTATCATTCTTCGCGGGAGCCGAACGGAGTTCATTGCAGTGTGACCAACTTTGGAGGCTCAGAAAAGAACAGCTTCAACTTCCAACAACATGGGCGACATTTGTTTGATGTTCCCGTTTCGTGTTTGAACTTCGATTCGCAAAATTTCCTGTTTCAATATTCTGGGGACAACTCGGGTCCACTGTTCGGAAATGTTGTTGATTCCTTCTTGTCCAGAAATGAAGACACGTTCTGTGAAGGGTATGGTGAACTTTACGAGCATTTCAGAAACGAACATGACAACATCTTGGAGGATGCTGCTTCTGCCCCAGTTAATCGGGTCGGTTGGTAGTTGATGTTTGTGTTTGGTGTTTTTGTTTTTTTATTTTTGAATGACATCTATGAATTTGATATTTGGTTTTGTTCTCAGGTTTTGAGGTTTTTTGTGCCATTTCTGGAAACTCTCCCATTTGTGCTTCTTCATACATTACATATTAAAATTAAATCATAAAAAAAAAAACTGATGTTAAGTAATTATGCTAAGAAATTTTGACCTTTTCTTTTTAGAAAAACTCTCCCATTTTTCAGTGGAATATAATGAAAACGATAAACATAACAGAAATAATTATAAAAACAAAGAATGTGATGAATTAAACGAACAGGAAAATTAGCAATACAAATATAATACTCTTAAAAAAAATTGACTTTATTAGTCATTATAATAATAACATGAATGATAGAATAAATTTTTTATTAAATTATTAACTATTTTTAAAATTTAAAATATTGTATAAATTATAGTCAACTTATGGTAACTCAAGTCAAACAGTTTTATCCGTGAGTTAAGTAAGCTAAATTTATTTTAACCCATAAAATAAATAAATTAAACTCAATCTAGTTGTAATAAATCAGATTAACTCGGATTAAAATCAATATTGAGATCCGTAATTATAATAGAACAAATATATTGATTTATATATTGGGGTGCAATCGTGCAATACCATAATTACACTTGCCACGAACGAATAAACAGGAAAAGGTTGTTTCCCAAAGTAAAAGGTTCTGAAGCCCTAAAGTAGGGGGGCCATTGCCCAGTTAAAGTAGTAGTACGGACACAAACATGCCCCTCCTCCTTCATCGTTCCAAACAACTATAAAATTATTATTTTATAGTTTTGCTGTTTCAGATCAGATATAGTTCAGAGAATTAAAAAATAAAATAAAAAACACGTAGAAGTAGAAGAAAACAGATTCAATAATTGGAATAAGGTTTACTAATTTGTCTTCAGTTTTTGTTTTACAATGTTTAATTCAGTTTCTATATCAAAAATTTGTAATTAATTTCTAATTTTTATAATTGGATCATTTTATGAAGTTATTATTATTTTCTGATATTTTTAATATTTTTAGAAATCTACTGATATTTAAATAACGTATTCCTTTTTTTATGAGTCGGTTTAAATTTGTGGTATTAGACTTAAAAAATATAATTATTTTGTATAATAGTTATTAACTCTTTGTTTATCATGTTTAATATATTGATTAATTTATTGTAGTGTATATATTATTTTAAAATAATTTTAAATATATTTTTAGTCTCAGAAATATGATTTTTTTCTAAATTTAAAAATTATTATTTTTGCCTTATTTACTATAGTTGTTTTTTAATTCGTAGGATTATTTCTTTCAGATTATTTAAAATATTTATAAGAGTAAAAGTATATTATTTTAAAGTTATTATAAATTTTAAATATTTAAGTTTAAAATAAAGAAATAGATTTATATTTCACAAAATATAAATATATTTAAATCCTTTATATTTTTAAATATAAAGTAAAATAAAATTTAGATAGAAAGGTATAACTGATAATTTTAAACTTTTAAAGATATTTAACGCTGTTTTGAACTTTTACAAAGTGAAAAACAAAATTATATAAAATGATCGACAAAAGAAAAATATAGTAATTTTTTTTAACATCATTTTCCGAGGCATAGTTTCCACATTCCACATCGTGCAATCCCTTTCTTATCTAGTTTGTGGTTGCATGTATACAAATTTTTTTTCACGTAAAAAAAATAGTTATCGTATTAAAAAAATTGCCACAATTTCATTTTAATAAAAGTTAAACTATTAAAATAATGTACACAAAAAATACTAAAATTGTATAGTTTTTTGAATATTAATATAATTATTTGATTTACAATTTTTTTATTTGAATAGTTAATATTAAATAACTATTTTTAAGATATATTTTTAAAATATTAAATAAATATTATAAATCCTATCACAAATTTATATTTAATTAATATTTGTTTCAAAATATTGATATAGATTTTTTTAAAATTGAGATTTATTTCATTCCTATGTTTTTTTATCTGTCGTTTATTTATTATATAATCAAATTCATTAAAGAAATTAAAGACAAATAATTAATGTAATCGACTCAAAAATCTAATCATTCAAATATGATTAGAGTTCAATTATTGGAAATAATTTTTTTTATCAACCTTTAACAATAAAATGAGTGAGTTGTATCTGTAAGCAACAAGTTTATTCTACGAGAAAAAAAATTATTTAGGTAGAATTTGATTATTATATAAAGATTATAAATAGAATATTTTATTAGTTAAAATTTATTTGTATAAATTCACTATTTTTAAAACTCTCGTTTTATCTTTTCTTTAACGGTATGAATTTCTCACTTATATATTATCAACATTCTAGTATAAGAAAAAGAGTAAATTGTTTCTTTATTGGTTAAATATTTAAATAGAATAACTTATTTTGGTTCATGTTTTTTTTTTTATGGGTTTGTGACTTTTTACTAGAAAATGTGAATTTTTATTAGGTTAAAGCACCTTAAATGGAAGTTATTAATTGAAATGTTAAAAGCTTGAAGCATCATTTTATTGAAAGAATCTTGGATAGTTACTTACAATATTTTGTTAATTGGTGCATCAAAATTTTATAGGATGATCTCCAATAAAAATAATTTATATGAGTTATTTTTTCATATTAAAAAATTTTAAATATGAATTAATATTTGACATTATTTATATATTTTACTTAAATATTTCAATAAACAACTTTCTATTTTAACAAAAAAATAATTTATGTGAGTTATTTTTCATATTAAAAAATTTAAAATATGAATTAATATTTTACATTATTTATATATTTTACTTAAATATTTTAATAAACAACTTCCTATTTTAACAAAAAAAATTTATTGTCAGTCGGATTTCTACAATAAATTATTTTTCTAAAATATATTTATAGATAAAAAAAATTCTCTGAATTTCTATATTATTAAACAATCAAACATTAAATTTTATTTATTTAAGATTAAAAAGAAGTAAAAGAGGAGCGGCAAGAAGCAAAAGTTGTTATGTAAAGGCATGAAATGAATATAAAAAGAGTAAGAAAAAGTACAAAGTCCTCTCACTGACAACCTTTCTTTTCTTTTCTTTTATCTTTCCACATAACTCTTCCACTACCACCCCTTTCTGCTTCTTCTCAGGGAAAAAGTTTTCTCTCTCTCTTTTTTTCTTCTCATCTCCCAAAGAATAGTAAAAGATCCCACCATCCTACTTTCTTTTAATGTAAATTTATACAAAGAGAAAATGGGGAAGAAAATAATTTATTAAGAAATTGTTTTCAAGAAAAAAAATCATTGTGTTCCCTCATAAGTAACACATTAAGAGAAATCTTAAAGTCAGCTAAAGACTTTAACAACTTCTAATGTTTTTAATAAGTAAGGTTATGGTACGATATTTATGATAAATTTCATATTATTAATAAATGATATATTTATTTAAAATACTCTTATTCAATGCATGTATTTATGATGTTATTTAATATCAATTTATTATTTTATTATTTATAATAATTTAATTTTATATCTTCCAACATTTTAAACATTTCATATTAATTAAAAATATAATCCACACACAGTATAATGATTGCATGCACTCACTGTAGTCAGCTGGTTCTTTTTCTATGGTTTAAGATTCTTATGTAAGAATAGAAAAATTCAATTATTTTTTATTTTAATAAAATAATTATTCTCTCGACTCATCTTTTATGTGTATTTATATGTATATAAAATAATGATAAATTTTAATAAATGAATAAAAATAAAACTGAAAGTGGTAGCTAGAGGAGGCTCTGCGCATCAGCAGTGAGTAGTAGCCAGAAACAGCAGCAGCAATGAGTTCTGGTTCAGTCACCAAAGCACCACCCTCCTCCTCCTCATCACCCAACTCTTCCGCTGAGTCGCTTGATGGCTTGAAGTTTGGCCAGAAAATCTACTTCGAGGATGTGAGTGTTGCAGCTGCAGCAACAACTCAAGGGGCCAAAGCAAGTGCTGGGGTTTCTTCTTCTTCTTCAAAGAAGGGAAGGGTTGGTTCAGTGCAACCGCCTCAGCCTCCTAGGTGTCAGGTTGCGGGCTGCAAAGTAGATCTGACTGGAGCTAAGGCTTACTATTCTAGGCACAAAGTATGTGCCATGCACTCCAAGTCCCCAACTGTCGTTGTGGCTGGTCTGGAACAAAGGTTTTGCCAACAGTGTAGCAGGTCACACTCTTTGACCTCTCTCTCTTTGCTTTTATTTATTATGGACTTTAAAAAGGTCAATCTTTTGTTTTTGTTATTCTTTAGTTTCTTGCTATTTTTGGTGATGTTGCTATATTGGGTTGTCTGCTTTTATTTACTTTCATCATCTTACATCCTGTTTTGCTTTTTGCTATTTTTAGTGGTTTTGCTATTTTGGGTATTTGCTTTGGTTTACTTTCATCATTTTACATCTTCGTTTTTGCTATTTTTAGTGCTTTTGTTAGATTGGTATTCTCCTGCTTTTAAATAAAATAAAATAAATTGTTTTTAATTTTTAGTTTATGATTAGAAATAATCAATTATTTTTTCAATGATGAAGGGAAAACATCAACTGGATGCTTCTACTTTTTCATGGTTATGGCTGTATATGCTGCACTTATTTTTAGATAGTATTGTTTTTTTTTTTATTTCAGGGCATTAATCATGCTATTTTTGTTCTTCGTGATTGTTTTCTGTAGATTTTTTTTTTTTATTCTTGATTGCGTGTTATAGCTCATGCGCTTTTCTTCATAAATGAAGTATGTGTGACGAGAAGCGTGTGCAAGTTTTGTTTTGTTTTTTGTTTCTTAATGCTTCTTACTGTTTCGAGAAAGGCTCATGTTTGTGGATTTGTTATATCTGTTGTTACTGTGAGTTGTAAATGATAGCATGTCGACTTTGTTGTTTTGTTTATCTTGTAATCGTGGGTAGTGATTGGTGAAGGATTCTGCCGTAGAAAACAATGGTGCTCTTGTGAGTCTCTGTTGCTTCTTCTCTTCTCTTTTATTGTTTCAAGAAGTGCTCGCAACGAAATTCGAGTTATCAAGGGCAGGAAAAAGGTGTAGAAATGAGTGTGAAACATGAGCTAAGATGCATAAAGTCTGAAATAGTGTAGAACGGACTCAGATAAGTCAAGAATTTATGATTTCTGTTTCGATATACTTCACCTTCAGGAGTGTCAATATATATAGATCAAGATTTGGAATAATAAGCCCATCATATACTATTTTTCCCATTGTAATTTGGCATGTGAAGAGGGTAGGAAGGAGAGGGATATCTTTTGGAAGTTAGATGTGAACTCTTAAATTCCGAGGGAAGAGAGAAGAGTGTTCTGTGTTCTTCATTGTTCAATAAGATTATCATTCTAGTTCCTGAAGTCTGATCCAGTTCTCACAAACTGTTTATCCTTTTCTGTTTAATAGTTCAAGCTTGATTACATCTGAAATTACTTTTCTCTTCAATGACTCGATGTGCCAGCTAATGTAAATGGGGATATTTTCGGATGTTTTTAATGGAAAAATATTACTAACTTGTGAATAATTTTGGAAGTGGATGATTATCATGATGGCAAAACGCTACTTTTCTGGATTGAGACATCTCTCTTTATGAAGAACTAAAATTTTCAAATTAAGATATACCCTTTGTGAAATTTCCAACTTTTGAAACATGCAAATTTGTGCTCTAATATGAAGGTCGTTCTCATACACCTTCACTGATCTTGTGTAATGAGGGATCCGTGTGGTATTTTGAAAGAGAATCTGAGCTAAGTGACTTCATGTTTAAAATTATATTTTGTAAACACATGTCATCTGAAAGACTTCGATTGCTATTTTTTCTCTTATGCTTTAAGACATGGTTGGAAACATCCGGTTTTGATTATCCAATATTAGTGCCTTAATGGTAACTAATTGAAGTTAAAGTTGAGTTTTGTTCCATTAGATTGTTGATGGGATGGTTTGTAAATGCTATGGATAATAGTTGACTTGCAGGTTCCTTTTCATGGAAGCTACATTGGTATATCTACCTTAAACATGTTCTATGTCAGTCTATATTGTGCTTAGCTCAAATTCAATTGTTTTCTATTTTATATCAGAAGTTTAAATATACCTTAAGGCAGCCTGTTAATTAAGCTTTATATGGGCTTGCAATATGGCTTTAGTATATTCTATATGTAGTTGTTGTGACCTTAAATTGGAGGGGTATTATCTCTGGGCGTTACAAAATCTCAAATCCCATTTTCTTTCCTTCAAATCTCAGTTGTATATTTTAAGACACTTCATCAAGGCTATGATGTTCTGGAAAATTTGTGTGGCAGTGAGAGTTTTCAATTGTTTTGGGGTTTATAAGCGCTAGTCTATGAATGTGGTAAGCGTCCAATGTTGTGAAGCAGGGATAACTCCGATCAATGATTTCTCTTTCACCTATGCTAGTATACCTTGTACTAAAAGATAATGTTATCCCTTTTAGCAAGAAATAAGGGAAAGAACTTTACTGGTATCCTTGCTTGAGTCTTGTTTTATATATTGATTGATCTTGAGTTCAAAGTATCTTTGAACCATGGATGTTCTTTGATCCTATGTTGAGAAGAGATGTTTTTGCTCATACTATCTTTTACATCATGCTTTTACATAAACTTGGTGGCATATGTATTTCAGAAATGCTAATAGCCTCTTTGATAGCCCTTTCCCAGGTTCCATCTGCTTGCTGAATTTGATCAAGGAAAGCGAAGCTGCCGTAGGCGACTTGCTGGCCATAATGAGCGCCGCCGAAAGCCCCCACCCAGCTCCATATTAGCCTCTCGCTATAGCAGGCTTTCTTCCCCGATTTTTGGTTAGAAATTATCAGTAAAAATCATTTCCAAACCTCTCTAAGTACTTAATGCATGTTTGGTTTGGATCAAGTCAAATGTGGATCCATGACCATTTCCAAACTGATGCTACTTTGAGTAGTTTCCATGTTTCACATTGAAAAGTGGATCCAGGATTCCAAGCGTCAAACCAAACACACTCTTAATGTGTATCTCTAGGAAGAATCAATAATTTCAGTATTTGCCATTCCTTACCTTCACAATACTCAACTGTTTCACTCATGTTTAGCAGATAGCAATGGTAGAGCTGGTGGCATTCTCATGGAATTTGCTTCATATCCAAAGCTTACGTGGAGAAACACCTTGCCAACTCCAAGATCAGCCGAGCTGCTACCCGGAAACCATGCTGCAACACTCACCTGGCAGGCCAGCTCAGACACACCATCTGAATTTTTCCTGCAGGGATCAGGGAGTGGTGGAACAAGCTTCCTTGGTTCTAAACATCCTTTAGTGGAAAGCTACAGTGGAGTCACTGACTCAAACTGTGCTCTCTCTCTTCTGTCAAATCAAACATGGGGTTCCAGAACCATACGACCAAGTGTTGAACTGAACAACAACATGTTGAATTTCAATGGGACATCGATGACACAATTCGCGGCTTCCTCACAAGTTGCAGCCATGCATCAACTTTCAAATGCCACTTCATGGTACCTAAAGGGCTTTGACTCGCCGGAGGGTGTCCCTGATCTCGGTCTAGGCCAAATTTCGCCTTCTCTTCATAGCCATCTTCATGGTGAGCTTGATGTGTCACAGCCGGGTAGGAGGCATTACATGGATCTTGGTGAGTCCAGGGCCTGTGAGTCTTCTCACTGGTCACTTTAAAGCTCTTCTTTGCAATCAGTTGCATGTTAATAATATCACGAAGCACAGAAAAGTATGAGGGGGTTCTGTGCTTACTTGATCAGTTACTAAACTGATGCTACTGCATTATGATTTCTTTGAACTTAGCAGCAAGGTGGGTATATCCTTGCTTTGGTTGTGGAAATTGAAACTTCCTTATTTTGGCTTTGTTTGAAGTTATGAGCAAGGTTGGTATAGTCTTGTTGCTTTTTGTGGAACTTTTCAGACATTATTATTACTTTGGTGTTGGAACTTATTAGCATGATGGGAAGCCTGTTTTATTTTGTGGGAAATTTCAGACATGGATCATTTGAATGTGGCATGACTAATGTTTTCTTGCATCTAAGTCTTTATTACTGAATGCATATCTATTTCTACAACTGTGCTACGAAGAACTAGTAATGTTTGATTGGCTAGTAGTTACCCCAAAATCTGTTGACTTGCTCACGAAATTATATAGTGTTTGAATCTAATGGTTTTAAAAATAACAATTCATTTTTAATTGTCAAATTAAAAGAAAATTAATGGCGGAGTAGAAATACTTTTGGCGTAATTCGATCTCTTTTCTGTATGATATCCATAAAAGATGAAAAATTATAATACTTCAAGAGTACATCCTTTTAGTGTTTCCCTAATTTCTAATTTCTGATTATTATTTTTTTTTAACTGGTAAAGGGAAGTCATTCATTAGAAGACCTTGATTTGAGAAATAAAGGATGAGAAGAATTTTCTTTGGAGAAACTTGATCTCTTTTCTGTATGTGAAAGTATAGGGAATTAGTTTATGAGTGAAAGGAACAAATTTTAACTATTAAGTTTTGTTATCATTGGTCAAATTTTTTTTTTTTTATTACTTCATACTAAGACAAGATTGGAGCAAATAAGGCTACGATTTTAATAGTGGGCCTTACAACCCTCCTCCGCATGGCAATTTCTTTTTTCATTTTCATAGTTTTTTCCTATAATTAAATTAAATCATATTTTACCTTACCCTTTTCTTTATCTTTGTAAGTGTTTATTTATGGTTTTTAAACTTTTAAATGTTTGATTTTTAAATCCTACTAAAGTATTTTTATTATTCCTTATCCAATTATTTTAAGAATTGCAAGAAGCAAGAATTTTCAACTGTTTTTAATATGTATCAATTTTTTACAGTGTTCACACAACAAAATTGTTTTGGGAATTGGGAACACAGTTCCAATAAAAAATTTCCAAAAATATGTTTTGAAATTTTGTTTACATGTTATAGAGAGTAAGTTTTGAAATATATTTTTGGAATTAATTTTCTAAAAATTTATTTTAAATTGGTGGATTCATAATATATTTTTAGATTGTACATTCCAGAAGTGTATTTTGGATCCATTAATTTGAAATACATTTTTGGAAAATTAATTCTAGAAATGTATTATAGAATCCTCTCTCTAGAATATGTTTTTTGGAAAAAAAATTTAAAATGTATTTTTGCATTGAATTTTTTAAAAATGTATTTTAAAACATCTAATATGAAATTCGCTTTCGAATTGACTTTTCAATATATTTTAGAATAGATATTTTAGAAAGTGTTTCTGAAAAAGTTAATTTGAAAATAGATTTTGGTATAGATGTGTTTAGAATGTGTATTCGAAAAAATCAATCAAGAAATATATTTTAGATTGGATATTCTGGAACTCATTTGAATCGAGTAACTTGGGTCTCAACGTGTAATTTCAGTACAAGAGAACGAAAATTATAAGTAATTATGAAAAATTATGTAAAAAAGAGTGAAAATTAGGAAAAAATTTAATCAATTTACTCATAAAAAAAATTAGGAGAAAAATAAGAAAAAAATAAAAAAATTTATAAAGTAAAATTAATTTATACATAAATTAAAAACTTTAAAAAGTTAAATGACAAAATATTTACAAATTAATTTATGTATAAATTATTTAAATTTATAAAAAAATAATTTTCACTTTTTTTTTCTCTAACTTTTTTTAGTTAAGTTTGAGTAAAGAAGTTTTTTTCTTTATTACCATAACAGATGTTATTCCTCTGATTACCATTTTGAAGGGAGTGGTTTAAACTTAAAAGGAACATTTCCTATTAAAATTCAACGTTAAATATATTTTTGTCCCTGTATTTTTGTGTATAAATTCTATTTTAATTCTTATATTAAAACAATTATTAATAATTCAACAGAATAACGTTTTAATCTTATTTCATGTATATTGAAAATTGAGAAGAAATATAGGAAAATTAAGTGAAGTCAACACAACTATATTACGAGTAAGTGGTTGAAAAGACCAATATGAAGTGGTAATAATAGTTGAAAGGATCCAAAATAGTGAAGCTATAGAACTTGAGACAAAAAAACAAGTGGCGGAAAGGTTGGAATATATTTATCTTTCTGAAAGATGGCTAAAACCATGGAAGCTCTGGTGTGAAACGAAACAGGAGAAGAATGCCGAAAGCTTTTGTTCTTATTTGTTTCGATCGAATATTTACTAAAAGATTTTTTTTTTAATCCAAAATACACTTTCTAACTATGCAATCTAATTATATATATATATATATATATATATATATATATATATATATATATATATATAGTTGTATATTATAAATTTATTGATATTAGAACCACTCACAAAGTATTAATGTAGAGGAGAATCGTTACTTTTAAAAAGAAAATCTTTTAGAGATTTGGTTGAACCCTAATTTGTGTGTGTACGTCAACAGCATAAAGCCCCAATGATGTAAAAATGGTGTAGTGGCATGTGATGGCACCCTAATGCCCCCATTTATACGTCACTATTTTTTATTTATTTCTCTCACTACTTAAAAATAGGACACTTTCTAAAAAGAATATTTATTGTTAATTTAAATTATTAAATGAATTTTAAAAAAGTTTCTTTTTTTTACAACAATTAGTACTTGATTCTTGCAAAACTGTGTTTGATTTTCTATGGTGTTTTTTGTTTTCTGTATCAATATTTTTTTTCATCATCATGTTTTTCACCGTTCTCTTTTATGTATTATATATATTTTTTATTTTTCTTCAATTTAATTAAATACATGTATTTAGTTTTTCATTTATTATCATCGCTTTTTTTCATTCACTTTATTTTTATTCTCTCCGATATTATTTTTAACTAATTGCATATTAGATAAAATTATTTTGCAAATTCTATTTTTTTTTCAATTCACCGTTTTTTTTAACTGAATAGTAAGTAAACATTATTATTTTAAAAATATAATAATAAAAATGATGAAAAATATTCTTTGAAATGAAAAATTATAATAAAAGAAGTCCGTTGTAAAAAAAATATAATAATATTACTAATTTTATTTTATTAAATTAATTTTATAGAATTAAATTAAATATATTATTAATAAAAAATACTAATTCATGATTATTACTTGTTTGATAAATTTTAGTAAGGATCAACTTATATTTTTCATATTATGTTAATCTATTTAATCATTATAAAGAAGCTTTTTTATTTTAATTTTTTTATAAGTGTTGTGTCTGTGATTTTTTCTTATAAATTAAAAAATAAGTTACACTAATTGAAAAACATAATCAGAGGCTATGATTGGACATGTGTTTTAAATGATTCTGCAGACACTGTTTGTTTGGTTTTCACGCAATTCAAAACACTTTTATTTTTCTTTGTTCCATGGCCATCAATTTATCCTTTTCACACAAATGCTCACAGCACTATAAAAAACCAAGCTTTGTTCTGCCCCTTTAGCAAGTAGCACTTAACCCATAATCTTCAAACCAAAACCTCCTTCACAATCAAACGCTGATTCAAACCCTCCACCTTCGCAGAAACTCATAACCACTATTTTTAAACCAAAACTGCACAAAATGGGAAACAAAAGCTCAGCACCTTCAAACACAAAATATAGCAGCAATAGAAAGATGGCTTCAACAGAACCACCCCACGTTGTTCCAAACCGAAGAAACTTCTCCTCAAGGCCAAAACGACTCCCAACAGAACAACATCATGGTAAGAAACCACTAGTTAATGACGAAGCTTTCTCCACTTACATCAAAGAGTCCAAGTTTAAAATGAAGAGCAAGTCAAACATTGGAGGCCATGAGGATCACAACAACTTTATAGCTGTAGATGTGGCTAACGAATCCAACAAGGAAAATGAAAAAGATCATTTTTCGGATTTTATTTTGAATGCTAAGAAGAAGTTAAGGACTGTTACCAGAAGAAATAGCTCCATCAGAAGAGGGTAAGATCAAAAACTTGAATGGAGAGTGCCATAGATGGCATTGTTGGTGACTTGTTGTGCACTTGATCTTCCTTGTTGAGGAAAGTGCTTAGAATAAGGAGAAATTCTTGTATCCTTCTTAACCAAGCTTGTCTTGCTTTTTATTTGAGTGTCTGTCATATAAAGATATAAATACTGCAATAAAAATAGGCTTTTGTCTTCAACATCTTTACACTTGTTCCTCCCTTATACATATGAACAAAGGCCTGATTTTTTTAACATATATTATACATAATTAAGTATTTTTTATGTTACATTTTTTAATTAATATATTTATTTTATTATTATTATTATTTCATAAATAATTAAAAAAATTAAATTAATAAATAAAATTATTAATAATAAATAAATTCATATAACTTTTCCACTCATCTTTTACTATTTTCTCTTAATCTAGTTAAACAATCTTATTTTTTATATTTTTTCTCATATTTTTCACTTCTATAAATTTACTCTTATTCGATCTAAACACAAACTTAATTAATAAATAATGAAACAATTTATATATATATATATATATAAATGGTTAATAATATTTTTAATTATTAATATATATATATATATATATATATATAAAGTTACATATTTTAAGTATAATTTTTTAAAATATTTGAGTTTAAATTAATAAAATAATATCATATTAAATATATTAAATTATTTATTTAATTTTTACCATTATTTTTATATTTATTATATTATACTAAAATAATATAATTAAAAATTAAAATATTCATATTTAATAGAAAAATATTAAAATAAAAATTTTCATGTAAATTGAAATTAAAAATACGAAAATATTAAATAACGTTTTATTAAAAAAAAACTATAAAATAACATTTTTTTTCTTATCCTTTTCACTATTTTCTCATGGTAGGGACAATAAAGAAAGTAAAATAAGTGGATCAAAGTTCATATTTTTACACTGATTTTCAAATAATAAAAATCTACTTATTTATTCACCTTTTCCCCCTCTACATTTTGATTTTTTTTTAACTCATGTAATTAAAAAATATTTTTGAATACATTAACTTTATTTAAACTTACACTTTATCTTAATTTTTTTTACATTTTTTTTAAAATTAAATATTTGTTTATTTGTATCCGTAAAAACTGAAAACATGTCAAAGAGAGTTTATAAAACTCATATATATATATATATATATATATATATATATATATATATATATATATATTATTTAAATTTATAAAATATTTTTTATTTAATAATTAAATATTTAAATATATTCATATCCATATATTTATTGGTGTGTAAATCAAGAATAATAATGAATAACTACATTCTTAATAATAATTAATGAATATATGTTATATATTTTTTTGGATTTTAATAGGTTAAAAATTAAATAAATTGAGCAAAAAAGGGGTTCGTGATAAGATTTAATTTTGCATTAAAAAATATTTAAATCAAACATAAAATTTAAATGTGATTTAATTTAGTTTTGATTCTATTTAAATAATAATAATAAATCAAACCAACATAATATTTTATAATTTTTTTTAATGATTTTTGTTATTTTTATTATAATTTTTTAAATATGTTATAATAAAAGAATTATTTAATAAAAAAATATATTATAAAAATATTATGTATAAATTAATTAGGATATTTATAATTTTAATTTATTTTTATATTTTTTCACATTTAATTTAAAAATAATAATATATAAACTTTTAATTTCACTAGTATATTCGGCTTGATTTGATTGAATTGATTTTTCTTTAACAAACCGAAATTTGAATAAATTAAATTTTTTAATTTTTTAATTTAAAAATAAAATAAAAATTTAATTTTAATAATTTTTAAATTTTTAATTGAAAATATTGGTGCTCAAATTTATTTTTGAATTTTGAAATTTGATCTTCTAATTCTAACCATTTATTAAAAAAAATAAAAATTAAGCATTCTTTTGTGTTTTGTAAGTGGTTTAGCTGAAGTTGGGAAAAAAATGACGAGGAATTTATTTACTATCATCAAGTTCTTGTTTTACAACTTTTTATACCATATTGATTTTTTTTTAATCTGAAATTGATTATTTAAATATATTAACTAATTTTAAAAAAGTTTACATAAAAAGCATGAGAAAAAGTTGTACATTTTCAAGTTATTTTGTATAAACTTTAATTTGACAGAACGAGATAAAAAAAAGTCATAAAAATATATTTTTTAAAATAGTTTTATATATTGAAAAACATAACTAATTAATAAAATATTTATTGCACAAAAAGTTATCAAATTAACATTAGGGCTAATATTATTAAAAGCAAAGAAGTAAATAATAATTAAAATAAAGCAATAATAATGATAATAATAAAAATAAACAACTAAACACGTTATCTTCTTTATGTTATTATTTTAACTACGTGATAATTGTTCTTTAAATCAATGTGTTTTTCTGAAAATGTTTTGAATTAAATTAATCTTAAAGTAATGTGATTAATGTTTAGATTATTAAAATAAGTTGTTATGGTGTACTTGCATAGTTTACGAGTCATCGTGATAAATGATAGTTTATATACATCTTTTATCTTAATTTTTTTATATATATTTTAAAGATAAATGATGACAGACGAGAGTTTTAAAACAAACAATATCTTAGACATGAGAATTTATCCTAACGATATTATTATAACGAATATAAGACCGACACACTTTCATTAATAGAAGAAATATACTCGGAGTTCTTTCCATAATAGTTTTATCCATAAAAGACGTATCGAACATGAAAATTAACCCTAAACATGTTAATATAACATATATGAAGCCAAGTTTTTAGACGAAATATTTGACATTTATCATAGGATCGAGAATCGAGTTTTGCTCCACTCTCATACCCCTTAGTCTTCGATCAAGATACTATGTTCCAATACGTTCACGAATCTCACATTATTTAGGAGTTGAAACGAATAATAATTTATATACATCTTCCTATTTTAATATAGTGAAACATATTTTAAGAATAATTTAATAAATATATTTTATTATATTATTAATATATTTTTATAAAAATATAAATAAATATTTAAACATTATATATATTAAATATATTTGTTTTTACTATATTTATAAAAATATATTAATAATATAATTATATAAATATATTTTTATGTTATTTAAAAAAATATATTTATATTTATTTTATATAATTATATAAATAAAAAAATTTAAATATATATAATATTTATGTATTTATTTTCTATAAAAAATATATATTTATATTTAATTATTATATTTAATAAATATTATTTTATTTTAAAAATTATATTAATTAGTGAAATTGAAAATTGTGTAATAAGGTAAATATTGATAGAATGATGTTATTTTTGTATTATAAATTTAATAGCATGTTTTTGAAAAAAAATAATCTAAAAATGGTGCTAATAAGTTAAATATCATGTTTTTCATTAGGCACACAATCGGTAGGTAACTAATGTGTTCAAAAAGAAAAAAAAAACTTAAGTGCATATGCAAGTGCTAGCTTTGCTTAATTATGCATTGCACCCGTTCATTTTAGAATCTAATGCCATTTTAGTTTCCTTGGAAACCCTCAGTTTTTGTATATATGGTTCTTTTTCTCTAGAAGGATGCCAAACCAAATTTGGATACAATTATTCATAATGCAAAAACGTGGAGCACATTAGATTCCCAATGACATTAACATTCAAAGGACAAATCTGAAAGACACTGCTGATAGTTTCTTATAATTTTTGTTTTAGATTACCATTCTCTACTGTTATTACTATGGTAAGAACATGTCTATAATACAATGGAAACTTATATTTTCAATGCTTAAACAATAGTATATAGTTAGTTACTCATATAATAAATTTCTATAGATTAAAACCTTTTTAAAAGCACATCGCCTCCAACTATATTCTTAATCTGCTTAACTTTAAAAATCAACGTAAACAAGTACACTCTGTAAGAATATTGCAGTGACAAGATGCTTATGCAAATTCACGTGCCATTCACTTTATCACTTTTGTCATGACTCACACTAGGCTTCAAAGTTGAAAACACTATAAAACCAAGCGCTTCTAATAACAAGTTGCACTTAACCCATAATCCTCCATTTTCGAAGAAAACCAAATCGATCCATTTCCAAACCACACCCTCTTCCTCAAACACACCAGAGTTAGAACAAAAACCTCTACATAATGGGGAACAAAAGCTCAACAACTTCAAAGGCACAATATGATAGCCAGAGAGCAAATGATGATGTTCCTTTGCAGCGGAAACTCTCCACAAAGCCAGCGGAGGAAGATGGATTGAAAGCACTAGATAATGATGACATTTTCTACTCTTACATCAAAAGTGCTAAGAATAAAATTATGCAGAGCAAGTCAAACATTGGTGGCCATGAGCTGAAACCTACAGGTGTGGATGTGGCTAATGGAACCACCAACAAGGAAAATGAAAGAGACCATTTTTCAGATTTTATTCAGAATGCTAAGAAGAGGATAAGGAGTAGAACTATATCAAAAAGGAATAGCTCCTTCAGAAGAGGGTGATGTTACAATTATTTAAATATTGAATACCATGTTATACTATATATTGATATGCTATAATTTGCTATAATAAGACCAAAAACATTGAATTGGAGAGTTCCATAATGTTGGTGTGTTGAGTGATACGTTAGAATATGTGAAATTCTAACGTAGTGTTAACAATAATATATGTGGAATTTGTTATCATATATGTGATAACACATTTGCTATAATATACTATTATTGATATTGTAACGTAGTGTTAGTGATTACGTTGGAATATGTGAAATTCTTGTATCCTTATAAGAAGGTTTCTATTGTTTGTTTTTGAGTGCGTCTTATCAACGTATAATATATTGGAATTTGTTTTTAATATCTGCAAAATCTTTATTTTTAATTTTTAATTATATTGGAATAAAACAACAATGACCTTGATAATTTTTTTTGTAAAAAACGAAAGTAAGCAAAATTAGAGACTAAAAATAACAAATATAACTATATTAAAAAAACATGTTTAAAATTAAACAAATAATAAAGGATTAATTATTAACTTAAATTTAAAAAAAAAGTTTAATATTTTACAAATGTAATGCATAATTAGATTTTTTTTTTTAAAGTTTAATGTTGGGAGATTAAGTTCTCATATGATTGAGAAATAAATTTTTAGCTATCCTAATTTTGAAATAAAATGTTAATGATAATGTGAAAAAAATTCAATAAGAAGATAGTATCTCGAGATGTTGAGTCAGAAAGAAGAAAAACAAACCATAAAAAACGAATAGAGAATGGAATCTAATAAAACATGGAAAGATACCAAAACACTATCATCATCGTTTTCATTCGTTGTGCTCTTTGAAGAAATTTCAGTCTCTAATTGACCTATTATTTTTTTAAAGACGTTTGTTTATTTATTATTTTGGCTTTTTAAAATAAAAAATAAAGATGACTAACTACATTTTTTCTTAAAAATTAGTCATTCATAATATTGACGATACATATATCACCCAATACTTTTAAAAATAATTCTTATGATAATTTTTTCGAAAATTAAGCGAATAGTTTCTAAAAAAATTTATAACTGTCTTGCGACGTATCATATTTTTAAGAAATTAAAGAAAACTCATCACTAAAAAATAAATTTATTATATATAACAACGTATACACACAATCTCATGTATTTTATTCTAACATCAATAGACCAATATAATAAATATCTAAAATAAAGATAAAATTATATCAATATAATTTTTATTAAATATTACATTCTTCAATATCTTTCTATTGAATTTTTTTTTCCAAACTCACTTGGATTGAAATTTTGTTTCACAAAAATCACATATGCAAGATTAATTTTATATTAGTCTGAAACTTTTTGATAACTCATTTGTATATATATAAATGGACTTAATTTTTATTTTTTAAAAATACTAAAATATAAATAAATTGATAATTCCTTTGTTGTTGTAAAATTTTAATAACATTTAAAATAAATAATTATGATAATATGAAATTACAATTTTACCATTCACATCACCATCGGTAAGAGATACCAAATGAAATGACACAAAATTAGTAACAAATATTTGAATAATTGAAATTAAAATTAACTCAATAATACCTTTTTTACATAAAAACATTACAATATATATATATATATATTTCAATTTAAAATTATTAGATTTTTTAAATCAATTTTTACTTTAAGTTCATTTTACTGAAAAGAAAAACCCTTTAGAGGATGTTATACAAACTAATTATTGATGATGACCATCATAGTAAATAAAATTTATTATATCTATTACTTTACAATCAACATAAAAAAATAATTTTTTATATTATTTAGATCTTTATCGATTTTATAATTGATATAAACAAATCTAAAACAATTATCATGAAAAATTTATCGTGATAAAAAAGAAAATGTAAATCTTAACACACTTATCATCAACGATATAATACCATCAAAATTATTATAATTATATGTAAGACAAAATGCTAATGATAATTTTGGAGAGACCAATTAACTTAATAGAGATTCAAAATGATATTTTTGAAATAAATAGTTAGCGAGTAATATTGATGTGAAAAATCCAATAGAAGATGATTGCTTAAACCTTAAAGAGCTCAATTTTTGAATAAAGGAGAACAAAACCTCGTAGAACGGTGGAAAATGATGATAACATATCCAATAATAGAAGTAGAGCTAATGGAATCTTCTGTGTGAAAACATGAGAGAATATTGAAAGCTTTTGAATCTTTGACCATGTTCCTTCTCTTGTTTGGTCGTGGATAAACTTCACACACACTCTTTACTTTATGCAACCGGCCAAATCCATCTAAATTGCAAATCCTCAATTCGTTTACCAAATATCTTTCTTCATTTTCTTTTTCCTGAATGACATTATTTTACCTTGAAATAATCACTTTCATATGGTTTTATCCTTCATATGTATGAATTCACTAGACATTTTTTTTATTTTATATATGTGTATTTTAATTACAAAATTTAGAATACAACTACATCTTTATTTGTAAATATTCAAAGGTTTCTCTCTAATCTCATTAAAAGGGTCATTCTTCATTACGGAAACGGTTTATTCCCAACAATCATGTTCAGAGAACAAAAAAGATGGTCTCACTTGGTGTGGCTAAGAATCTTATCTTGATTACCAAAATATACATCTTCTGCAAACCCATCTTTTATTTTCACGTACTATAAAACCAAGCTTCTGCATCTCTTCCAAAGTGTGCTTAACCTACAATCTTCTCATCTTTTAAACCTCCTTCACACTCTTCCCAACTCTCTTCATCAACCTTCACAATGGGCAATAAGAACTCAGCAACTTCTAAGGCACTTAGTGGCCAGAGAGCACTGGTTGGTTCAATCGAAGAACCACAGCCACAGTATGTTGTTTCAATGCAGAGGAAACACTCGACAAAGCCAGAGGTGGTGAGTGTTTGGGCGTACCCAACAGAACAACAAGGTGAGAATGAGAAACCACTATGTGATGATCACACTTTCTCCGATTACATTCAACGTACTAAGTATAAAATCAGGAGCAACTCAAACATTGCTTGGCATGAGGATCAGAGGGACCCTGCACATGCAGATCATGTGGCTCATGGTACCAACATCAAGGAAAACGAAAGAGACCCTTTTGCAGATTATATTCAGAATGCTAGGAAGAAGCTGAGACTGAGAACTTTATCTAGAAATATTGGTTCCTTCAAAAGAGGGTAAGACCAAGAGCATTCAATGTTGGCCAAGCTATGTGGATTATTATTGTAATGTAATGTTGTGTCTTTAATCTTCTATGCTGTCGTGTTAGAATAAGGAGAAACTCTTCAGTGTTTTTCAAGAAAGTTTCTCTTGCTTTATATAATTAAAAGTGTAATATTATGATTATCAAAGGTGAGATAGTAAAAATATGTATAAACATACACTTTTGTCTCCTTACTTAGCCATTAAACTAGTAAGATGCATGCCCGTGTTATCCACTCGGAAAATGCTAATGCTTTTACTTTTTTTTTTTAAGAAAATTGATTTATAAAAAGGGATATAACACATATGTTGTTTGAAAGAGTTAAACTGAATTAAATTGTATAAAAATAATAAGAAAAGAAAAATACTTTGTCCCAATCAAATTAAATTAAAAAATAATTCACCTAAAATGAATTAAATCACGTTTTAGTTTATATTTTAAACTGAATGATAAAGATATATAACATATCTTTTTTAGTTTTTCTGTTGTTTTTTTTTCAATTTGATTTTTTTATTTAAATACGCCTATATATTCAAAGTTTTTTTTCTTTAATATAAAGGTATATTGGCTTAATAAAGATTTTTTTTGTCTTTTTTCTTCTCTTCCAGGACACTTACATGGTATCATTTTAACAATCTTAGTTCGCTGTTCTCTTCTTTCTCTTGTTTCTTGACGGTTACCTCTCCTTTGGATCAATTCACCAATTTGGTCAATCTCTTTTTCTTCATTCAAGAGAAAGTCCTAATCTCATTTTTGTTTCTCAAGCTCTTGATGACAACAATTATTAGTAGTAGAGACGAGATGCCTTTGTTGCTCTTGAAACCAAGAACAAAGAAATGTTTGTTCTTGGTACCCTCCCTTTGCATGAAGTTTGGAAGTGCTGCAATAAGATGGTGATTACTTGACTCACTCGTTCCATGACTAGTAATGTGAATTAATCCAGTAACTAACATTTGGAAGTTATTTTTTAAAGATTTTCTCACCGTGACAAATTTTGCATAACTTATTTTCAAAAAGATCTTCACAATTATGAACAAGGTGAATTTCACAGGATTATACTCATTTTCATATTTTTTGGAAAGAAATTTTCCTATATCGTATTGTTCTTGCTTGCACATGTGTTTCGCCCTGCACATGTGGATTAATCATCAAGATTTAGAAGAAACATGATGATGATTGTGTGATTAAATTTCTACGTGGTCTAAATGAAGAATTCTCATAAATTAGATATCAAATCATGATTATGGAACCCATGTCAACTTGGATTAAGACCTTCTCTTTAGTTCTTCAACAAGAACTAGAATTTAGTTTTCCTTTTCCCACTTCTCATTATTCTATTGTCAATGCAAGTTTTCATGAAATTTCAAATAAAAACACCTATGCAGGTTTTTCTAATTTTCGTGACCGAGAAAAATAAAGTAAATTTGATGGGCGTAATGCTACTAAGTATATGATCATTGTCACTGCTTAAATCATACATCTGATAATTATTGGATAAAACATGATCTATTTTCGGGCTATCACCAAAATAAGAACAAAATCAATATTTCAAGCGATCTATTAGTGTGACTGATTCTGTCCCTATGTTATCAAAATACTTTTACCATCATGAATGAACTTTCTTGATGTATAATTTTAAGAATTTAAATAATACGTTTGAATAACACAAAGAATTTATGATTATTTTTTTCAACTCAAATTGAAGATGAATTCATTTATAAACATTATATATTTATTTATTATAGATAAATTTTATATAAAAAATTAACGTAAATATAGAAATCTCATTATATAAATAAGAATATCAACGAAAGGTAAATTTTACATCATAATAATCGCTATAAAAATTATCATATTTATTTATGACTGTTAAAATGACAAATTTTAAGAATTAAAATTTGTGAGAATTAAAATAAATGTTAGAAGAAAACGATTTGATAAAATCCTTTAATATAATAATATAGTAATTAAATAAATTTTAGTTTTTTTTAGATTTATTTTAATTACATTTAATACTGTTTATATTTTTTTAAAATGTAAACATTAGAGTCTTATTTGTTATTTTGTCTTATGTATATATAAAATTCAGAATCGGAGGTTGCTTTGTGATTTTTACAGTTATATTTTATTTTTTATTAATAACTAAATTTCAGTTATATGTTTGAAAAGATACAAATTTATATGTATTTTAGTTCTAATAAAGTTTTATTTCTAACAAATCCATTTATTTTTTATAATTATTGTTAATTTTAAAAAAATTATTTAGCATGTTATAGTTAGTTGGGGTGTAAGGGGTAAGTCAATATCTGCTACATTAGGAATCAAGAATAAACTTGTTGATTAATAATAATTAATAGAGATATCAAATTATAATTAAAGAAAGGTTGATGTTGGGGAGACCAACTTCCTAGCTTCCAGTACTTTGAAATAATTTCTTAATCAGAAATAATGATGTGAAAAAGCGAGTAAGATGAATTTTGAAAGCCAAGTTGATGAGTTGACTCAAAAACGTAGAAAAACTCGTAGAACGGTGGAAGATAATAGTATATTACAAATAGAAACAGAACAAAGAGAGTAGAGAATAAAACATGGATGGAATCTACAGTGTGAAAACACACGTTAGGTTCTTTGTTGAAGGCCAGGTCATACACACTGAAATTCTTTTTATGCAATTATTCTCCACCATCAATTCTCTCCCAGAACACTAATCTGTTTCTGATTATTTTATCACCAAATAATTTTCCCAAGATTAAATTATTAGAATTCAGATTAGTTATGCGACTAAAACATTTGTTTGTTTAGTTTATTTTTTTGACAAAATAATTATTTTTATAAAGATAATCTCGAAAAATAGAAAATATTTTTGAAACAAATTAGATTCATACTTTAATACCTCGTACTAAATGTATTAATATTTTGAACTTCTAACTTGTTTTGTGTTTTCCTTTTGGTTCTTTCTCCTTTATTTTGTTTGTATTTAGTCTTGTTTTTCAATTGGTGCAAAATAAACTGTGGGAATTGGCATCTTTTATAGTTAGAAACCGCTGCAATTATCATTACATTGAAACCAAACAGATAAAAAGAAGACTAGAATGAAACAGAAAAAGGTCGGTAGAGGAACAAGTAAAAAAACTAGGTTATATTTACTGACAATTTTTTTTTTTAAAAGTATAATATAATCCTTAAAATTAATGCAAATCCATCTTCATTTTGAAAAATCAAGTTAAGAGTTTTTGCTCCTAAATCATATTATAGCCACAGCATAATCTAAGATAAAACATCTAAAAAATATTTCAGAACACTTAGTTTTTTCATGATTTGATTAAACACTTCATCAGAGAAACTTTCCTCATGTTCCCCACAACTTTATTCAATGGATGATTAAAAATTGAAAGGCTCTTGCATTAGACTCGGTCAAAAATAGTATCTTCATTAACAAGATGGCTTTTGCAAACCTATATTTCAATTTCATAGTCTTCCATATCTCATACACTATAAAACCAAGCTTCTGGACCTCTTGCAAATTGCAAACCCCATCTCAAAATTAGTGATCCCCTCGAAGTTTTTGAACTCATCAACCTTTAAAATATCAATGGGGAATAAAAACTCAGCAACTTCAAAGGCACGTAGTGGCCAGCGAGCAAAGGTTGCTTCAATAGAACCACAACCGCACCATGTCTTTTCAAGGCAAAGGAAATACACAAGAATGCCAGAGGTGGTGAGTGTTAGGGCGTACCCAACAGAAAATGAAGGTAAGACACCACTATGTGATGATCACACTTTCTCCAATTACATTCAACGTACTAAGTATAAAATCAGCAGCAACTCAAACATTGGTTGCCACGATGAGCAGAGGTGCCCTGCATATGAAGATGATATGGCTAATGTGACCAACAACAACATGGAAAACGAAAGAGACCCTTTCTCAGATTATATTCAGAATGCTAGGAAGAAGTTAAGAATGAGAACTTTATCTAGAAATATTAGCTCATTCAAATGAGGGTAAGACCATGACCATTCAATTTGAGCTAAAGCTATGTGGATTATAGTAATGTAATGTTGTTGAACTTTTTATCTCATGTATGTTGTACCTTCAATCTTCGTTGCTGAGTGGAGTGAGTTAGAATAAGGAGAAACTCTTGTGTATTTCTGGAGCAAGTTTGTCTTGTTTTGTATTTATTAACTTAATCTACTTTATGAAGAAGTGCCATGCAGAAACCAACCCAAGCATAAATATAAGAACAACTAATGAGCAAGAGAAGAATAAGTGAAATCCTCCAATGATGACTATTACAGAAAACACATTGTAGCTCATGCAAATTAGATAAGACACTTTTCTTGAGTAGAGCCAATTATTAGGCAAGCTCTAAAGAAGTCTCCACAAGTAAACTAACACCTTCAAGGGAAGGTGGCTCTTCCAAAACTTCTTGAAGTTCACCTCACAGGTATTATTAACACCACAAGGCAACACGTGCTTAAGTAAATAAACAAAAGCAGATTTAACTGAAAAAACTTTGTTGTCCTTCCAAATGATATATTCTGCTCCTCTTTTCATAACACAACAGAACTAATCAAACTTTTAAAATAAAAAAATAAAACTTCGTCCCGAGAAAACAAGTCCTATGTCATCTCCAAATCCGGCACCGTTTCTTTTTACTCCATTCCCCCATACCTGCTAAAGATTCATATTTATCCTTTGAAATTTAATATAATCAACAGTGTATTTAAGAGTAGAAACACCAATACAAGAATCCTTCCAAAACTTAGTTTGCCCCTCACCACACCTCTCTTGTAGAGAGCACAAGGGAGCAACACTACTTACAGATTCCATAATACAGAAGTCTCTCCGCTACACAGACTCAGATTAGTTCCATCTATCATTTGGAATCGCCCTATCCAACAAACAATATCTATGTACCAGAAGATTATACCCTACAGTGTTTTTCTTAGTTAAACATTGTCATATACACCTGTTCGGAAGGCTTAGATTATAGATGTCAAGATGTACAATACTCAGCCCGCAAAGGCATTTAAGCTGACACACCTCATACCAACAAACTAAATTTTTTTTTGAACTTCATCACTTCCACCTCCACGGAAAAATATAAATGGATTCCAATAACCAAAATTGACATTTTTTTTTTAGAAATATAAAAAATTACAGTGGCACACTAGATAGTACAAAATTTAGCATATAAAACCTCCCAAAGAGAGATACTTACCCTTCAAAGCAACGAGTCTACTCTTTAATGGATACAATGACAGGCTTCCAGTAGCCACTTCCGTTTTATTTGTACTAAGAGGTAAACCCAAGAGTTTAAAAGGAATCCCAATAACATTATAATGAATACAAGAAGCTGCCAGCAGCAAAAACTGATCATCCACATTAATACCCATAAAATAACTTCAACGAAAATTTACCTTCAAATTTATACAAGCACAACTTCTGAGAACAGCCTTTAACAATCACGAATTATTCATAGAAGCATCTCCAATAAGTACAGAATCATATGGCATAATGTAAAAGATATCTCACACACTCCTCCATCCCAGATCGTGGCTCATACATTTATATGAATTTAATATTTTTAGTGTTATTTTATAGGAGAATACTAGGAAACCAAAAAAAGTTCACCATAAATTTTGACTGAATGAATTTATATAATTAATAGAGATGGTTAATTTCTACAATTAATAAAAATAATACATCTGGTTGATATTTGCTATTTAATATCCATGTAAAGTTCAGGTAAGAAGTCAATTTCACAATCTTTATAAATGGAGTCTAAAATTGAAAACAACTAAGATATTTTCTGAGATGAACTGAAAAATTCCACAAACTGTATATCAACCATTTCGTTTCCTGAAATAGGGCAGGTACGATGTCCCTTGGCATGGATGAAGATGAGGCAGCCTCCTATCTAAATTTATATGTATACTGGCACAAGAACCGCCATAGTCCATTCATTGACCACACGGGAAGTAAGTTTATCCAGCTCCATTGAAATAAGCATCAAAAGCTTACAGTAATTGCTTGACAACACAAAAAATATGAAAATGTCCACTGTTCTCATCAGAAATCCTCAGTTTAGTGATCATCTTCATTGGTTCCTGGGCAGTTGGTCAGAAGGGCATCACTTGATTCGTACTGAACAAATAAGAAGGAAGAAAGAAAATGCAAGCAAAGTTAGAGGCTTCTTATTTCTCAATCATAGTGAATATGCTATTTCATCTGATAAAAATATATTAAAATGAGCTTTTACTGACTTTCTAGAAATAAATCAAGCATATACTCACTTGGCATCCACAAAATAGGCAATAATTAAATTCATCCCTCAGTCTCATCAAAACATCGTTCAGTTCCTGCATCCCGTCCAACACCATCAAATTGCAATAAATGCATACATAGACTAAGTTCAACAATAATGAGCTCAAAAAAATATAACAAATGAATTACAATAGTTTCTGAATGCAGTAAAAAACAGAGACCATGTATTCAGTTTCCAGACTATTTTGGGCAAGAAAAATAAATGAAAACCAAAAACTGGGTACAAAATAAGTGAAAAAGTTATGGTTATGTTACATGCCTCTTCTGTTATTTCTTCCTCCTCTTCTTCTTCATCCTCTGCATCGTCCTCATTCTTTTGTGGCTCCACAATTTCCCTATTTTCCAATTGGTCAAGGGCAGCCTTTGCCTTATTATAATTAATTATGATTCTCTTACTCTGCCACTGTGACTTCTGCCTGGACCCAAATTCTTTCATTAGGTCCTCTTCTTTCCTCCTTTTCCTGTCCATCATGATTTCCTCCTTTTTCCTCTTCTCCTTGTGGGGATCTTCTAATCCTACACCAGCTCGTGACCGTCGAATTTCAATCCCCACTGGTTCAGCCCTGCCTGAACCCTGCTTGCCAAGGGCAGAACCTGGAGTATAACCCATCTGTTTGAGAAGCTTAAACCCAATGTTGGATTGTGGTATTGGAGCTTCAACTTTTGCTAATGTTAGCTCATCCTCTTCTTGTTGCTTCCTGTCTCTTTCAAGTTTTCGCCGCTCTTGCCAATTAAGAGTTTTCAACCGGTTCTTTGAAGGGTTGACTGAAGGGTCTTTCTTGCTGGAAATCTAAATGGACTAAAGTGAGTTAACATCACTTTGTATGGTAACTGTAAATTGTAAAATGAAATGCCAAGGAAACTTAAGCATCTGGCAAATAACTCTTTGAAAAGGCAAACAAATTAGCCCCCACTATTCATGGTTCATTTTTTTACTAATTACTCAAATTTCTAAATGCATATCTGTAGGAAGCAATTTGGTCTTCAAAGATACATGTGACAACAATGACATTCAAAGCTTAAAATCGGCATCAAATTATCCCGTTGATATATCTTTGAAGACCAAATTGATCACTACAGAAGTGCATTTAGATCACTTTTTCATTCAAATCCTTCAAAGACTTGCTCACAAAGTTGAGTGTACCTTTCAAGGTTTCAAATATTCCTCTTATTTTTCTGAAAACAGAACATCAGTACGCGGCCTAGTGCAGGTAATTAAAAGTGGGAGAAAAAATGCACACGGGAACATACACCCAAAGTTTTAAAATACGGTCTGCAACCACAATTGTGACTGCACATCAAGTTTTTTCATGTCTCTGAAACCGCAATTGCAGCTACATTTATCTGCATATTGACGATTGATACAAAATTGTAATCTTGACAATTGGTAAGCCAAACGTTTTAATGACCATGTAACACAGAGCTTAAACTTAGGTAGGTGTATTAGAATAACTGTGAACAGGAACCAAACTGATTAGCGATTACATAGAGCACCAACTTTTTCAGAGCTTCAACTTAAATTCCAAGATCAAATTGCAAAATCATGTGAAGTGACTAGAGGGGCAAGGAAGGGGGAAACTTAAACACCTGATTTCAAACACGCCATGACATAGTCAAAACGACAACGGGGAAGGGTGAAACGGAGAAAGAACTAGTAACCTTTCTGGACGAAGACATATTGGGAGGGTCGTAAGCATCTGAAGGAAGAAACTGAGAAAGGTCACCCATGTAGTCATCTTCTCCCACCTCGTTTCCTTGTGCACCGTTTTCGCTCTCTCTGTTCGCCGGTGATGAATCCATGGCCAACATAAACTACAATGGGCTTCCGAAGACGCGCTGATCATGAATGTGCTTCTACATGGGCCCGTCAAGCCCATTTATTAGTAGTAGTTCAAATTGCGCAGGCCCAACACGATTGCCATCATGAAATGAAAACCCATTCTTTTTTTATTTTCAAATTACTGAATGTCATAAACAAATAAATTCGGAAGTAATTTTTTGGACAAAAAGTTTCTTTATAGATGAAAAAAAAAACAAGAAAAATAAAATATTTTCTTGATTATATTATAACCTTTTGTCTCTCTTTGAGTTTTTTATTGACGGTTTCTATTTTTCTATTGTTTTCTACAATTTAGTCTTTGCATTTAAAAAAGTCCACAAATTTGGCATATGTTTTGTTTCTTTTATTTTGATCTAATTAAACCATAGATTTAATATATTCTTATAAATTACCATTAAAAAAATAATTTTATCTAATTAAAGTTGTAATTTAGCTTTTTTTTCAAAATTTAAAATTAATTATATATAAATTAAAAACAACCTTTTAGATAATATGAAAAAAATTATAAAATGGTTTATATGTTAATTTTAATTGTTGAATTTTTTTTTCAAAAGTGATTAATTATATATCTTTTGTAAAATATACTAAATATGAATCATTTGATTCTCTCGTTATTATTTAATTTTAATAAATTTTGAAATGGACAGTAATGATAATATAATTTTACAATTATAATTTACGTTATTAAGTTAGGAATTATTTTTTCCCCTGTTGGGAGAAGCACTACACCTACTTGGGCGTTGCGCGCGAAAACAAACTAACTACAACGAACTCTAATTGGTGGACCCCACCGGAAACTCTCTCTCGCTGAACTGCAATGCAACTAGCACAGCGTCACTGTGCTGAGGAAACGATCACAGTGTCGCTCGCATCTGAAAACGAAGAATAAGAATCAGGTAAACGCGTTCATTCATTCATTCATTAATCCATCAATCGTTAAACATTAGGCTCTTTCTTTTTTCCTTCACTTCGTTTAGCTCAATTCATTTCAATTCGCTTTCGTGTTTGTGAAGGGAGAAGAAAATAGAAAGAAATGGTTTGCCACTACGTGTACGTAAATCTCGCATTCGTTGTCTTCTCGGCAACTTTGATTTCTCGCTGTTTCGCATTTACGGATCCGGCTGACGGTAATATAAAGAACTGTTCCTATTCGTTCTTGATTATTCTTGTACTGTTCTAGACTAATCTTGCATTGACAACTGTTCAAATTGATTAAATAACTTTGTGATGTGTATTTGCGTTGTCTTTGAATCTGATCAATGGTTGGTATTTCGTGAGCTTGTGTAGTTACTTTTTTGTGTTTGTGCAGTATAATGGAGGTTATAGAAATTAGTGAGTCAGATAGGAAGTTAGAACGTTAGTTCGGAATGGTTGATCAGCTTTATAAGTATGCGTCGTACAATTCTCTTCTTATCAATTCAATATGATTGCATTTGAGTTTTACTCGCGTTGCTCAAGCTGCGGCTCCCGTTGTCTCTGCATGCTGAATGTATATTTTGTGATTGTATGTTACTTTTCATTGAGATTTTCTACTGTTTACTGGTTTCACTCTCTAGGCTTTTTTAAATGGTTTTTTTTTTGGTGTTTCGAAAACTGAGGTCTATTTAGCTTAATTTGACAGAATAACCAAACAGTAGAAGAATACTTGTTTTTGTTGAATTCATATACAGACAACTTGAAGGAGACATGACAGATTTAGATAAATAGATAGAGAAATAGAAAATCTATGCACTTATGACTTGTGAGGATTGTATTTGTTTCTAATGAGAAATAATAAACTATTTTCTTAATTATCAATCTCATTGAAATTGAACTAGTTTTTTTTTGGCTCACAGTTTGCATGGAATTCGGCTACTAAACTGTAAATTTTTTGTAATTCCTTTTATAAACAGTCACCGCTCTCCAGGATCTATACAGGGCCTTAAATAACCCTCCAGTGCTGCATGGATGGAACGGTAATGATCCTTGTAAGGAATCTTGGACGGGAGTAGCATGTTCTGGGTCATCAGTTATACACCTGTAATGCACTGACTCAGTTGATGATACTCACATTTATATTATAATGCCACTAATAAATAAACCTATTATACCTTCTCTCTTCTTCATGCAGCAAAATTAAAGGATTAAACCTTACCGGGTATCTTGGACGCTTGCTCAATAATCTACAGAACTTAAAGCAATTGTAAGTAAATTTATAGCTTTAAGTTCTTATGGGGATGGTTTTTGTCAAGATCAGCAATTTTCTTACATCCATATTACTCTGGTTCTGTAGTGATGTCAGTTTTAACAATATACTTGGAGAAATTCCACAGGGTTTACCCCCGAATGCGACGCATATGTAAGACTACTGTTCTTTTCTTTTTGCTGCTGCGTGACTGTTCTGCTTTCTGGTTAAGTATAATTATGAATAATGATACGTTGAGAACTGTGTGCTTTAAAAACCCATTTCATCAATGTAATATGACAATTTTTTCCTATTGCAGAAATATGGCATGCAACTATTTCAGTCAAAATATCCCCCATTCACTGTCAACAATGACAAAACTAAGACACCTGTGAGTCAGACACGTTGGTATTGATTTTATTCCAAGCTTGACAGGGACATAATAGAAATATAAAATCTTCTTAACCAAAAATATCCTTTGACTTGTCTCTTCATGCTCCCTCATCGGTTGTTTATGATAGTGTTGAGTTTTACAAATGGCTGTGAAATCATCACACTTGTTGTCTTGCAGGAATTTAAGCCACAATTTCTTGTATGGATCCATTGGCAATGTGTTTACTGGTTTAGATAATCTCAAAGAAATGTATGTTTTCTTCCCGAGTCTTTTGCTTGAGCCTTTTAATTAACATGAAAGGAATTAATGATCCAATCAGTCAGCTTAAAACCTAAACCATTTACTCCCATAGATTGTTTTTGCTGTACATTACTAATCTTGAATATTATGGATCGAGTACAGACGACGAAGCCAGTTTAAACCTCAATTTTTACTAATTTACAAGGGAAAGAGTAGAATGTATAACATATATAAACTAATATATAGAAAAGAAAGCCAAAAGACAGATGACACATGCCTTTTAATCATTCCCCTTTTGTTGAAATGCATGAGTAAAGAGTAAGGCGCTGGCTTTTGTTTTAGCTTTCTAAGATTAGCTTATGTGAAGCTTATAGTGAAAATTAGATTAATCTTGAGAAAGTGAGGCCACAAAGTCTAGATGTTTTGACTATTTTGTTTCGATCTCAATCTGTCAAGTCACAAAAGATGATTTCCTACCATCAGGGACCTTTCGAACAATAATTTCACCGGTGATCTGCCAAGTTCATTTGGTTCCTTGACCACACTGGATAGATTGTAAGTTTCACCATTCTTGACACCCGTACCATGTCTCCTACACTTGATTAGTATTTATATTTCATCTCATTCTTAGAAAGGACTTTTGTTATATAGGTAGGGTCAAGTTTTTTGTTTTTAATTATTTATATATTGGGGTCGTGTTGGTTTGATCGTTAGCTTGGTGCTTATACGCAGGTATCTGCAGAATAATAGATTCACCGGATCAGTCACCTACCTGGCCGAGCTTCAACTCATTGATTTGTCAGTAATCTGTAAACATTTTTCACATTGTATGACTACAGCTCTATTATTTTCTAATTTGTCTGTTTTGTCAGGAACATTCAAGACAATCTGTTTAGCGGCATTCTTCCACAGCATTTTCAGACCATACCAAACTTATGGTTCGTAAAAATAACCATTACTAGTTTTAATCACCTTCGGTTTATTTACTGATATGAAATAATGGACACACAACATTGGAAAGTAACATTCCACCCTTAATTAGGATTGGAGGGAATAAGTTCCAAGCCGTGGACGACTCCCCTCCCTGGGCATTTCCTTTGGACAACGTACCCATTGAGCAAGACACTAGTCGCCCACCCATAACTCAGGCAAATACCATCGAGAACTATGGTCCTCTTAGAGTAAGGAAACAAAAAAAGAAACGTATCACTCCCGGAGGAATAGCTTTTATGGTCGGTGCAGGAACATTATTAGCAACAGGTTTCGCTCTCTTCATCGCGATCCGTTTGAATAAGCTTTATACGAAGAGACTGGAGAACTATGAAAGCGACCATAGTTCATTGCCTTCTTATCCAATCAGTGCAGCCAAAGGTATCTCACTCAGAGCATATAAATGATGAGGCACGCCTAGTCAAAGCCAAAAACCATATGACTGAATCACATTCTAATGACGTTAACATGATCTCAAAAAAAATTGTTCATTACAAACAGCATTAACTCTAAATAAAATGATTGAAAATACAATAAGATAGGCAGAAAGGACTGAGTGAAAAGTTAGAGATACTAAATATATATTGCCAATTTCACTCAACTTCTTTCTCTTTCATATGTCAGGATGCCATTCCATTTACTTGTTCTGTAAATCCATTTCCATCTTTGATCGTGTTTTCCTTTTTCTCTTCATTCTTAATGATGATAGAGGATTCTACTACGGTAGATGAGAGCCTGCAAATCCCACCTTATAATGCTTCATCCCTTATGGGTCCAAGGCGATTAACTTCTCAAACACATAAAAGAACCGGGGAAACATCAAGAAAAAGCTTTTCTGGAAGAGACCGATTCAATGGAAGGACAAAAGTTTATACAGTAGCGGAGGTTCAGTTGGTTACAAACAGTTTCCATGAAGACAACCTTCTGGGAGAGGGATCCCTTGGTCCTGTTTATAGAGCTGAATTCCCAGATAACAAGGTACCTTATAAACAGTAAGTCCCGTTCAGATTTCAAAACCATTGCTTTCAATTCAATTTATAATTTCTTTTTCTTTATTTTGAAAGGTTTTAGCCGTGAAGAATATCAACATGGCGGGCAAGTCTTTCAGTGAAGATGAAAAGTTCTTAGATGTCGTGTGCACGGCTTCCCGTTTGAAGCACCCTAACATTGTTTCACTTAAAGGCTACTGTTTGGAGCATGGACAACATCTTCTTGTCTTTGACTATGTCAGAAATTTAACTCTAGATGATGCTCTTCATAGTATAGCATACAAACCTTTATCGTGGGGCACCCGTCTCCGGATCGCTTTAGGTGTTGGTCAGGCCCTGGAGTAAGTTCCATTTTGCCACTCGGAATGATTTCTTGTTACATAAGAAGTAGAACCATGTCTCAACTCTCTACACTATGTTTACAGCTATTTGCACTCGACGTTCTCCCCTCCTGTTGCCCATGGCAAATTAAAGGCTACCAATGTGCTACTGGACGAAAACCTCATGCCTCGTGTTACTGACTGTGGCTTGGATATTCTGAGACCACTGACAGGCAATAAAGTCAAAATTCGGGTACGTTTATCCAAGAATCGACATCATATTTAAATAAGCTACTTAAGGTTATAGTGGCTGAAAATTATATTATTATACACCCTCGATGGCAAATATACAACATCAAGGATTCTTAATTATACACCTAAATAGGTAAAAGATGGCTCGTAATAGGCCACAGTTGCGTTGTTGCTTTTTAATTTTGATTTAAGCAACGTACAAACCATTTTTCTAAATATCCCATCAATATCTAATTTTTTTATCATTTCTTTTTTTAATTATATGATAATTATTATAAAATTTATACTTTTTTCTTTCAAAATATCATTTAAATGTTTTTCAGTTTTATGGATATTCATGTGTCATTTGTCTTTGATTTATCATCATAAATGAACTAGCTCCCATTAAAATTTTTAAAAAATAGTAATTAATATTAATTAAAGTAAAAATTTAGAAAATTTATATATGAAAATTTCTATAAATTAGATTCATTTTAATTTACGAAAAGTTAATGTAAAAGCCGCTTAAATTTATAAACTTATGGTTGCAAAATGAACACCTTGATATTAATTTTAGTATGCCGTTGACATAGATGCACTGATTAGTTTGTTGATTGTCGAAAAAAGGCTTCCGAGATTGATATTAGAGATACAGGATACAGTTCACCTGACCATGGTCAACCAGGAATTGGCAGCACGAAGAGTGACATCTTTGCCTTTGGAGTGTTGCTTCTTGAACTTTTAACAGGAAGAAAACCTTTCGATGGGTATACATACGTTTCTCTATAACTTCATGTCATTTCATTTGTTACAGGTAGGCGAATGATGTCCTTTGTTTTCCTTGCAAGACAGTTCCAGGCCAAGGGAAGAGCAATATCTGGCAAAGTGGGCTTCATCTAGGCTTCATGATACTGACAGTTTGGAACAGATGGTGGATCCAGCAATCAAACGGACATTTTCATCCAAGGCTCTTTCTCGTTATGCTGATATCATCTCCCTCTGCATTCAGGTATTGCCATATATATATATATATATATATATATATATATATATATATATATATATATATATATATCGAATTTTTTACAAAGTTAAACTTGAATTTACTAATGATTGTGTGTTGCCATTTTTGGTTATTCAAATTATATTCACTCATTTATCTGGGGGGTTGAACTAAAACTTACCTGCTTCTCATGCAGCCCGTAAAGGAATTTCGACCTCCAATGTCTGAAATCGTGGACAATCTAGTATCATTTTCTCAAAAGATGGTTTCAAAGAGTGGTGTAGCAGATGGTACTGAACTTGACCCACTTGACAGGTCATTTCACACAACCACCTCCCGCTTTAACGGTTCACCCGCTCTGAGCTATGTATCAGCCTGATGTACTCACTCGGCATTAACGTAGTAAACCGGTTGACATTAGCGGGCTAGAAATTTAACTTGATTTCTGTTCTCTTTTGTATCGCCTTTGTCTCATGAGGCACAAGATTTTATTTCCTTCGACGTGGAAAAAACTTTATACAGCTGCAATTTCACCTCTGAAAAGTTCTTTATATTTCTATAACTATATAAATACTCACTCCCATCAATGGTAATGTGACTTTAAACTATGTCCAGAATATTGAAGTTGTAAACAAAGAAAAAGGAGTCTAAGAATAAAAGATAGATAAAAATATATAAATCGTCGCATAAATGTTGTCGATAGCCGACATTGTGCAGAATATTAATTACATTTTCATGTAATTTAATAATATTAATGATATAAAAAAGAGTTATAAAATAACACGTAACATAATTAAACAAGGAAATCAACATTTAATTAGCATATTAAGTTAAAAAAATACATTTTTTAGAAACAATGGATTAGTATCTGGACCAACTTTTAATTGGACCCGTGTGCTCCGATCGTTAAGATATTAAATAGGGTATTTCCAATGAAAAAAAATAAAAAATACAAGTTTTCTTTAATATAGAAAATAAGTTCATCCATTATTGAGGGATGCCAAACCATGCAAATATAGAAGCCTTGCTGGTAAATGATATGCACGCGGGTCGTCCTGCTCAATCAACTCAACTCAGGCATGGTCAGAATCCAAAAATAATGCCAAGTTAAAATGGACAAATAGAATAATTGCATAAATCAAAGGAACAAAGCGATATCATCAAGCAACAGATACCCTTTCCTCTGTCGCCTTGTGCCAGTTGGTTAACTTATTCCTCAGATTCTGGCATATTCCTCGCAGTCAAAATATTCCTTGTATTCAATGACATGACATGACCCGACTTGAACTGATACTTCGCAATATTATTCAGTAGTGATTTTGATAGTGAATCAGATAATTTGCAACATTATTCAAATTTTTAGCGGTCACCAAGACTTTTAACAACTCGATCATATCCATACTTGAAATTCAAAAGGTATACTGCATCCAGTGGAATCTTCTGCTTGTAAAATCAACAAGACACAAAACTGCGGAATAAAGTGACCTCATTCAATAAGAATTATCAGCGCATGCCATTGTCAAAGCACTGTTTTTTTGTCAGAAATGAACAGGTAAAGTAAAAAATAAGAACTAAAAGAAATTTTTCTATGGTTATTTCGGCCAGCCACTATCCACCTAAAAGCTTGATCACTTATCATGGAAGTAAATTTCTATTCTTCATGCTCCAAGGCCACTAGTCAAAATAGCGTTGATCTCTCCAATTATATTAACTGGTCTTCCATCAAACATCGATGAAAGGGTACTCTCACATAGTTTTTTCAATTCCTTTGTTTTTGCCACAGCCGCATCCTGTAATAACATACAAAGTTCAGTTGTCACATCAGACAGGAACAGAGATTGTTGTCCTCGTGAGTAGCAGCAGACAATAAAGAATAACGAAAATGGAGATAAAGATGGGTTACAATTTGTGTTTCTTATTAAAAGAGTAAAAAAAAATGGAAGGACTGAAACAATATGATCTCTATCCCTAGCAGAAGAAAAATTAAAAGTGAAAAATGAAAAATAGACACTGTTCTGTTCTTGTAGAAAACCATCACATAATTGTCTTAAAAAAAAAAAGGGTAAATCGGTGATGCTACAAGAATATTTTGCTGATAATAATAATAAGGATACCCACTCTTAACTCTCTATGTCTATTAAATGCCGCTATCTGCCATGCAAGATTTAAGTACTTGTTCCTTGTTAAAATTAAAATAATAATAATAATAATAATCTCACTCTAGAAAGAAAATCCCAACAGATAATTTGCATATTTGATGGTGTTTTCTTCTTTTTTCTTTTTTGGGGAGGAGAGCCAAAGCTTAAATTATCTCGGGAAGTTGATAGAATAAATGTTATTGTTTCTTGAAAGCAAACTTCACTGAGAACACAATTTAAACAAATGGTAGATGAGACTGCTAACAGAAGACAGAAACCATGCTCTTTTTTCTATTATTTTATCTTTTACTGGGACCTGCATGTTTCAATATTTATTGATATTGCATATTCAACACATTATATACCAAAAAATTTCTTCTCTACACATTTTAGAAGTTAAAAAAAAATATTGATTATCCTTAATACAACCAGGTTGCTAAATAGAAATATGAACTTGTTACTATTTACCAGAATAAAGTGTCTGCAGTAATAAACTAGTGTAGGTATCAAATATAACTTCTTTTGCAACACAAACAACAGGGACAAAGGGGAAAGAGAGAGAAGGTAGTGTTTATCCTACAAATTTGAATATTAGTTGAATACTATAAATTTTCCCCCTCATAGATAGCAAGCACACATAGGCAGGACTTACTTGCTTGGACCATGATGAAGATAGAGAATTTTGCAGCTCCATACGTTTAGCAGCCAAGTCCTTCAACCCCTCTTTCAACTTGACTTCATGATGTTTCTTTTCCTCTAACGAATTGACTAGTCTGTCTAGAAATCTGAGATTCGGCCCAACACCACAATCAACTAACACATCATATTCAACAGGAATACTAAAGAAAGAGCCAAATAAAGAATTTGACATTTTAGCCTTTCAGGTTACACAGTAATACAGATATAGACAGAATGAATTTCAGCAAAAAATCATCATCTTAGTACACTACATAATAAATCAATGATCAAAGCCTTCACCTCTTTCTTTTGTTATGCAGGCAACACGTTCCAAACTTCAAAACAAACTATATCGAGTCCAACTATGGTTTGCTTTTGAATAATTATGTCTGGTTTTTGTTTGGAACATAAATCAGTTGTTTTTCAAGGTTCCAACTATCATTTCCTTTTAATGATATGTAATTCAGTACATAAACTTGTAATTCCATATATTAGTCGATATATTCAAAGGAAAATTTCAACCCATCTGATGCAGTGGGATACTCAGTGAATGAGCTTATGTATAAAATTTTAGGCATAAAATATAAAGCAGTACCGTTTGGAGTTGAGAATCATAATCAGATCCCTTGTCTTCCTATTTGTCAGCAATGAAATTGCCAAAGAAATATCACTTTGCATTGTTTCTATAGCATCAGCGGCATACTGCTGTAGTACAAAGGGAGCAACTGCCTGGACTTGATTTTGCAGGGACAAAGTTTCCTCATTCCTCAGTTCAGCCAATCGTTGATTTAAAAAGGATTTCATCTGATGTCATTTACAATAATTACAAAAATTAAAATTTAATCTGAAAACAAGAATGACATCATATAATAAATTCATACATCACAAGTAACCATTTCTGGGCTAGAAAAATAACAAAATTATGTTTCTTTCTCTGTATGATATTTGAAATTATATTATCAAAATCAACAACATAGTAAAGACAGTAATTAGCATGGATATTATATACCTCATAAAGATCATCTAGAATCTTATTTCTGTACTCCGTATCTAAAAGTTGGCTCCTTTCTTCCTTGTTTTCTGTCAATTGAGACAGGGCATCTGGAAGGGAAGTCTGAGTCTCCAACACTACAGTTGGAGCACTATCATCATCAATCACATCAACCTGAGGAGTATCCACACTAATATCCCAAGATATATCTGCATGTGAGCCTACTTCTTGGTTTGATATAGTTGGATCAGATCCGATATCAGAGGCATTAATGATTTCATAAGGACCCAATCCATTACCATTATCCTCTGTTTCTTCTACAGTTCCAATATCCCAATCAATTTGTGAACTCTCCACAGAAATATCCCAGTCAATGTCAGGCACAGCAATTCCAGCATTGCTTGTTCCAGGATTCAATTCATTTTTGCTTGCATGAATATTAACATCACTAATAATCTCAGAGTCAATAGCAACATTTAAAGATGGGGGGTTTTCACGCAAATTCTTCAAGTTTTGTAACACACCTGCCAAAGATCTCTGCAGTAACGATTTTCATCTTAAATAATGTGTATACTGAACCATGTCAAAAAGAGTTACAGGAATATCAAGTATTAATGAGAACTATAAAATTAAAAATAATTAAATTTTTTTTCTTACATCCTTTTCAGTGTGAGCATCCCTAACAAAATTGGAATAATACTCAATTGCCCGTGACATGTTGTCATTGTTTACAACATCCAGAATCTTGTGAAATGTGCTTGGAAGTAATTGTGCTGTCTCCAGAAGTTCTACCCTGACATTTTTCCCCTGCAATATAACCATATACCATACCAATAAATTAAGTTTGATTCAACACACCACAACAGTAACAATAAAAGTTTTATCCCGCTTTGTGAGGCAATGACTGGTTTTCTCAGGAATATAATTCACGACAAAACCCCTTTTCAAACTGCTACATAAATTGTTTCTACACAACACAAACACTCAAACAATTCAAACCTGTAATCCAAGCTCCTGGCAAGCTTCAACATATTTGGCCACAGAGAGCGCAGCACTTCTTTTTATATCAGCTTCCTTGCGATCTAGCTCTAACAGCTGCTGCTGAATCTTCTGAACCTGTTTTCTCTGATAAGGGCTTCACAATGAAAATAAATACTCAGCAACAAAAAACCAAACCCTTAAGACATGAAAACCAAAGGAAGACAATGCTCACATTTCATAGCTCACATTTTGAATGAGAATCTGCGCAGCCTCACCAAGGAAAACATGATCCTTCTCAAAGGACCGCACGATTGCTTCCCAAGCACCCTACCCAAATAATAACAGCCATAATTAGCAACAAAAGGGTAACAGTACACAGTATTTATTTTCTCTTATGAGGTTACAGGTATCGTCCACAGGAGGTAAACTACCTTGAGCCAAATAGAACACTTAACACAGTTGCATAACTAAAACTCGAAACTCGAACTCGAATTAGTTGATCTACATGTTCGATTGTATTAATATACACAATATGAATGATTGTAGAGCATAATTTTGTTATACATATTTTGAAGTGTATCTCACCGCAGCACCTGATAAGCGACCAAATATGTTCCTGCTTTCCGAAGTAGACTTTAAAAGAATATCATATATCTGTTTGGCCTCCAAATATCCAATCCCTGAAAAAGCGTTGCCACTTTGCTCATAACAACTATCTAACTTAACTTAGCCACCAAAATTTACACATTCATAATTTACAATCAGCGAACAAATAGCATTAACACATTTTGGTCAACACAAATAAATGTCGAACCTTCGGAGTCTAGGGTTTGGAAAGGAGGGTAAGAGTCCTTAGGGAGGGAGGAAAATTCCTTGGAAATTCGGGCCCTGATCGCCGCCACGCGCTTTCGCCAATCCGGGGGTACTCGCTTGCGATCCACCAACCATTCTGCAAAGATCAAAAATTCGAATTCAGAAACCGATAAAATTAAAATAAAAAGAAAAAAAAAACGAGAGAAATTGGGACCTCCGAGACGAGAGAAAGTGATGTCGATGGGGAGATGGCGAACGTCGTCGGGAGATTGCATCGCGAATGAATAGATCGCAACTCGACGAGGGAGTGAAAGGTTTCGTCGTCGGGAATTGGGGTTTGGACTTCGCAGCGAGCTACAGTCTACGTCGTTGAACACACAACTCGCTGCTTCAACTGGTTTCTTACATATTTGATAAAAATTAAATAAAATTCATTTAACCGTATAATAAATTATATTGTAAATTTTAAAAGTAAATAAGTTAATTTGACTCGCTTCCTTCGTAACACGATAGTTTTTTTTTTTAAATTACACCAATTAATAAATCAGTAGACATAGATTTAAAATTTAAAATTTTAATCAATTTTAATAGAATTTAATAAAATAATACTAATAAGTATATATAATAAAATAAAATTACACTTTTATAATATGATAAATTTATTAATAATAATATTTTTTATAGAAAAATAATAATAATAACATGATTATCATAAATTATAATAAAAATTATAAATATATAATATAAGATGAATAATTGTTAAATTAAAATAAATATAAGATAAAATAATTATTATTTAAAATTAACATAATAATATAAGATAAAAAAAATTATCAAAATATATTATATTTTTTAAAATATATTAAGTAATTTTGATTTTAATATTTTTTATTAAAATAAGTGCAACTCAAAAAATAATCAATTTTTTTAATTTTATATTATTTAATTAGAAGTTGATTATTTAAAAATAACAAATAATTTTTTATTAGAAGAGTTGAACTAGATCCGAATTAATTTTTAAAGTTTTATTTTTTGAACACTTTATATTATTAGATGAATTTTTATAAAATATTGATAATATTTTTAGTAATAATAAACTTATACTTTTCACGAAATTTAAATATATAAATTTATATTGCTCTCAGTTTAGAAAGTTTAATATTTAAATGTTTCATTTTAAATAAAAAAATAATTTATTAAATTTTAATTTCGTAATTTTCTATTTTGTAAGAAATATTTGAATTATCCATTCAATACAAAAAGTTATCATTACATAATATTATATTATATGATGTATATTGAAAAATAACCTCTACAAAATTCAAAAAAAAAAAAAATATATATATATATATATATATATATAATTGGCATTCATAAAAAAAAATCTCATTAAAAAATTTGTCAAATATAAATAAAAAAATATAATTTAAATCTACATCAATAAGTAAATAATTTCAATATTAATTAGAAATAACTTCTATATGCGTAAAAAAAAAGTATAATTTATAACCATCTAAAAAAATTTCACTATTGTAAATAAAATACCATAACTCGCGTGGCCGAAGACACTACCAATATTGGTAAAAAAAGTATTAAAGTTGGTCAATAAATAACCCTCAATTATCTTAATCAAATAACATCAAATGAAAATAATCTTAATTGGAGTTAAAAAATTTATATTTGCTAATGGTTGAAAAATATCTTTATGTTCACAGATAAATTTTTAATTAAAAAATAAGTATGTTTTACATTAATAACAAAATAACATACTACAAAAATTGAAAAAAAAATCAACAATCAATTTTAATTACTTCTATAAATGATGTCAATATAACTTTGATTTCAATCAAGACAAAATAATATTTCAATCACTATAAAATAAAATTGATGATGTCTCCATTAAAATTAAACCGAAAGAGGAATATAAAGTTGATGTCTTCATCAAAATTAAGCCAAAGAAATAATATAAAATGTATTATATAAATAAATAAAAAAACAAAAAAAAGTTTTAAATTATTATTTAAAAGTAAAATTTAAAATTCAAATTAAATACATCAATTTTTAGAATTTTAATTTAAAAAGATATTTAAATAACATATTTTACAATAAAATATATAAAATAATTACCTTCCAAAAATTATTTGTCCAAATAAGATAATTAAATTATGTCTGGTATATTTATATTTTTTTTAACAAATAAAATTGTTTTCGCAAAAAACAACTTTTTTATCAAAAAAATAAATCATAAACACATATTTATAAAATGTGTTTTAAGGAACACATGGGGAACAAAGTTTAAGATTTAGGAAAAATACAAATTTTTAAACTTTTTTTTTCCTCAAAACTTTAATTACATAGAATATCTCAAGATTATACACCTTTAAAATTGTTTACCACCCAAACATATATTAAAACCCTCCTCATTATTAATAATCTAACAATTCTATAAAACTTAAACCTTAGATAACTTAAATACTAGTATTATTTTCTCATTAATCCTTATATATATATATATATATATATATATATATATATATATATATATATATATATATATAATGTTGTTTTTAAATTCTTTATCTAACCATTTTTCATCTTTTATCGTATATTTAAAATGTAGTTATATAAAATTAATATAGTTTTAAATATCACTAGAGTATGTGTGGATTCAAGATTCTTGTTTACTTCTAAAACTAAAAATGACAATGATGAATTCAAGATTCTTATCTACTCTAAAAACTAAGAACCACGATGTGGGACATATAGAATGACGATAAATTTTTTATTTTATAAATTAAGGAAATCAATTATATTTATTAATAATAATAAATAATTTCAAATAAATAATAAAATAAAAAACAATTAAACATATTATATATATATATATATATATATATATATATATATATTAGTTTTGTTGGGATTCATTAAAATGCGTTGAAATAATAGTAAAATTACATTAGTGAAATATTTAGAAAAAAAAATTGAATTTATTAACTAGTGGACACTTGCCAGCATTTACCTATATTATAAAGGAACTTAATTTAAAGAATAAGAAATTTATATATAGTTATAGGTATGGTTTTCTAAAGAGAATCATATTTCATCGAAGATATTTAATAAAGTATTTTTCTTGTAAATATTTTGTGAAATACTTTAAAATTGAATTTATTATGCATATTATCTAAAATTTAATACGAAGAAAACACTTTCACAATTAGCGGGATGAAAAGAAAAAATTAGGTTGAAATTAATTCTATAAATAATATATTTATAAAAATTTTAAATAAAATATTTTTAAATTTATTTACTATGTTTATTATTGGTATACAAAATTTAATAAGTGATAATAAATTCATTTAATATAATATAATTTTTTTCTCTTTCTTCATTTATTTTTATATTCTTTTTTCTTCTTTGTTTGTTTAGTATTTATTTTTCATTTTCCTCTTTCCTCCTCTTTTATTTTCCACTCATTTTATTTTATTTTTAATTAAAAATAATAGCTTGAAATTTAATAAAATAAGTAATTTATTATTATTAAAAAATAGAAAATATTTAAATGATTCAAAAATACTATAATTTAATATATTTATATAATAAATTTAAAATATTACAAATATTATTATTATATTATAATTACTAAGAAAATAAATAAATATTTATTAAATTAATTTTTTAATAAATATTCTTTTAAAATTATCTAATATAATTAATTATCGTAATTCAATCTAATTATAACTAAATTAAATTATTAAATAAAAAAATACATTTAATTTATAAATATTTGATATTTATTTAATTAGATAAATAATTATTTATTATAATAAAATAAATTTTAAATTAATTATTTATTGTCAAAATAAATAAAACTATTTATTATCATTATAATTTTAAATAATTAATTAATGTTTTTTAATTTTATTAATGATTTTAAAATATTTAATTTTTAATATATTTTTATTACATTTTAATATAATAAATTAATTAAAATAATAAGTTAAAAAGAGAAAGAAGAGACATAGAATAAACAAAAGAAAAATAAAGAATGAATGAGAAAAAACTTATTAAAATAATGCATCTGTATGTAAATAATACATATATCTATTTGAGTAAATAAACGAATAAAAATTTTATTTAAATAATTTTTTATTTAAAATATATTAGTGACTGAATGTTGTGTTTAAGTTTTTTATTTTTTAAGATGAAAACAAATATGATGTACATTAAATGTTTGACCATGAATTCAAAAGAAGTATGATTAGTGAGTGGGCCAGAAAGGAAGGGGGCATGGTTTCTCAATTTAATCAAGAGGGAAGTTGTACTACCAAATTTGCCAGCGTTCCAGTAAGAGTATGATCAAATTCCTATTTTGCCCCGAATTTCATAATACATTTAAAACCTAATATTACATAGAATCCAATGACAATTCACTACACTAATTCATCTCCTAGATACCACTACACTACTACACACACTACTTTATTAGAATAATATAAAAATAATAAATTTGTTTATTATTTCTTAACTATTGTGGCATATTTATTTTAGTTTTTAACTTATTATCTTATATTTTCAATATAATGTAAAGATAAAATTATAAGTTTTTTTGAAAAGTAAATAAAAAAATTACAAACTTAAAATGTGAAACCTTAAATAAATAAAAACATGAAACGAAGTAGTGATTGAAAAAAAAAGTGAAAATAAAAAAAAGTGAATAGTAGAAAAAGTATAAATAAATGAAAAAGTAAAATATAAATAAAAAATATAAGTTTTATTTAATTTTGAAAAATAATTATTATATATAAAAAAATCTCTTCCTATCCTTTTATATGTAAGATTTCATCTATATATATTATAGTATTAAACATACAGATGTATCTCTGCCTATAATCATTAGCACCTGACTAATAACATGGGATGGTGAATAAAGATCAAATTGAAATTAACCAAATTGATGCAAAGTAAGAGTAATTATTTATTTTAAAATATAGAGAAAGAACTGTTTAATAAAAAAGAATTAATAATTATTAGTAAAGTGATACTATAACAAAATAAAATAGAATAGAAGAAAGAAAAAGATGGGATGGTGTGTCACACGTGTAAGCGTTTGAGTGGGGTCCATGGCAGAGGCTCACCACCCCCTATGCGGCAGCAGCACCATTACAGTACAGAAGAGGCAGAGATGTAGAGCACTGTAACAAAGCCAGCCAAGGTCCTTCTTCTCTCTACATTTCGCCCACAACCAGACAAATCAAAACACACCCAAAGAAAGAGAAACTGAGAAGAAGAGAAGACACAGCGCAACCAACCACACACACCACTTCTCTCTTCCTCACTTTTTCTTCTTCTCTCTTCACACTCTCTCTCTCACAACATTTACTTCCCTCCACTACTTTTTTCTTCCCCCAAAATAAACGACTTCGTTTTCACATGGTACACTCCTCCCCGCTCCTTCAATCTTCCACATTCATAAAGTTAAAGCAAAAAAAGACTACTTTATTTCCTTTCCTTCTTCTTCTTCTTCTTCTTCTTCTTCTTCTTCGTCTTTATTTCTCTCTCTCTACGTTTTTCTCATTTCAGTGCTTCTCGGATTTTCACATGCACCGTCGCGTTTGGGATTTCTTCTCTGGGGTGTGCCCAGCGACGACGCCGTTTGGTATCAGAAGTGCATTCTCATGTTTTGCCTTTTTAAGAAATAATAATAATGTCTAGGAAAATGTGAGAAGTGAGTAGACTAGACATAAATCAAATGTTAACTGAAGCGTTTGTTGTTTCATAACATTCAACTCTCTCTCTCTCTCTCTAGTTAAGGAAGTTGTTGTTTTTACTAGGACGTTTCAAAATGCTGAAAGTACAGAACTTTTGAAACGTTAATTTTTCTTTCATCTTGCGCTGCATTACACAACCACATTTAAAAAAAAAAAAAACTTTTTTTTGACAAATTTTGTTTATGCTTGCAGGGTAAACAATTGGATCTAACATTTTCTGGGAAAGTGGTTGGTGTTTTTACGGCGTCGGAGTCGTCGAACACTTTGTGAAATCTGAGATCTAGGTTTGACATCGCTGTTTATGATTTTTTTTTTCTGTTTTATGGTTTAGATACCAATGATGCACATTTTTTGAGTTTCAGCTTCTGTTATCTCGATTATATCTTCTTTTGATGTGTGTTTTTTAATTTTCCCGAATTTTTAGGTGCCTCGGTTGGGTAGAGCGTGTTGTAACGGCTATTTGCCTGTGTTTTCCTGTTTTTTAGGCTCTTGGGAACGGTCGTGCATAGTCTAAAGTTGTTGAAGGCTTCGGATTTGGATTATAAATTGGAATTTGAGTTTCTAGTTCTCAGAAGTGCTTAAAAATGCAGAGGCCTCCACCTGAAGATTTTCTGTTGAAGGAGACCAAACCCCACCTCGGTGGGGGGAAGATCTCTGGTGATAAACTTACCAGTACCTATGATCTCGTTGAGCAAATGCAGTACCTTTATGTGAGGGTTGTGAAGGCCAAGGACTTACCTGCCAAAGATGTCACTGGGAGTTGTGATCCATATGCTGAAGTCAAGCTTGGGAACTACAAGGGAACTACCAGGCATTTCGAGAAGAAAACCAATCCTGAGTGGAACCAGGTTTTTGCGTTCTCAAAGGACCGGCTTCAGGCCTCCGTCCTCGAGGTTACCGTGAAGGATAAGGATGTTGTGAAGGATGACTTCATCGGACGTGTCTGGTTTGACTTGAATGAGGTTCCCAAAAGGGTGCCTCCTGATAGTCCTTTGGCGCCCCAATGGTATAGATTGGAGGATAGAAAGGGTGACAAGGTGAAGGGAGAGCTGATGCTGGCTGTTTGGATGGGTACTCAGGCCGATGAAGCGTTTCCTGAAGCCTGGCACTCGGATGCTGCTACAGTTGGTGGAAGTGATGCTCTTGCCAACATTAGATCGAAAGTGTATCTGTCTCCTAAGCTTTGGTATTTGAGGGTTAATGTGATTGAGGCACAGGACTTACAGCCAACTGATAAGGGTAGATACCCTGAGGTTTTTGTGAAGGCTATTCTGGGGAATCAGGCCGTGAGGACTAGAATCTCTCATAGTAGAAGTATTAATCCAATGTGGAACGAGGATTTGATGTTTGTGGCTGCGGAACAGTTTGAGGAGCCGCTGATCTTGAGTGTGGAGGATAGGGTTGCCCCTAACAAGGATGAAGTGTTAGGAAGGTGTGCCATTCCTCTGCAGTTTGTGGAAAGGAGACTAGACCATAAACCAGTGAATACAAGGTGGTTCAATCTGGAAAGGCATATTGTTGTTGAAGGGGAGAAGAAGAAGGATACCAAATTTGCAAGCAGGATTCACATGAGGATTTGTCTAGAAGGTGGCTATCATGTTTTAGACGAATCTACTCACTACAGCAGTGATCTTCGCCCAACAGCGAAACAGCTGTGGAAGTCTGGCATTGGTGTTCTTGAACTGGGGATATTGAATGCTCATGGTTTGATGCCGATGAAAACGAAAGATGGGAGAGGGACAACAGATGCCTATTGCGTAGCCAAATATGGGCAGAAGTGGGTCAGGACCAGGACAATCATTGACAGCTTTGCACCAAGGTGGAATGAGCAATATACCTGGGAGGTTTTTGATCCTTGCACTGTCATTACAATTGGTGTATTTGATAACTGTCATCTGCATGGCGGAGACAAGGCTGGTGGAGCAAAGGATTCAACGATCGGAAAGGTAAGGATTCGTCTTTCCACCCTTGAGACCGATCGGGTCTATACACATTCCTATCCACTTCTTGTTCTTCATCCGAATGGGGTGAAGAAGATGGGTGAAATCCACTTGGCTGTGAGGTTCACGTGTTCATCTTTGCTCAATATGATGCACATGTATTCGCAACCCTTGTTGCCAAAGATGCATTATATACACCCCCTGACTGTTAGCCAGCTTGACAGCCTGAGGCATCAAGCTACTCAGATTGTTTCAATGAGACTGAGTCGTGCTGAGCCACCGCTGAGAAAAGAAGTAGTGGAATATATGCTTGATGTGGGTTCCCACATGTGGAGTATGAGAAGAAGCAAAGCCAACTTCTTTAGGATTATGGGGGTTTTGAGTGGCCTAATTGCTGTAGGAAAATGGTTTGATCAGATTTGCAATTGGAGAAGTCCAGTCACTACAATTCTGATCCATATCTTGTTCATAATATTAGTTATGTATCCAGAGCTTATCTTGCCCACAATTTTCCTTTACCTCTTCTTGATTGGAATTTGGTACTATAGATGGAGGCCAAGACAACCTCCTCACATGGACACCCGTCTCTCTCATGCAGACTCGGCGCATCCTGATGAACTTGATGAAGAGTTTGACACATTCCCGACCTCCCGGCCAAATGACATTGTGAGGATGAGATATGATCGACTTAGAAGCATTGGTGGGAGGATTCAAACTGTGGTTGGGGACTTGGCCACTCAGGGTGAAAGGCTGCAATCCTTGCTAAGCTGGCGTGATCCCAGAGCTACATCACTGTTTGTGCTTTTCTGTCTGGTTGCTGCTATTGTACTGTATGTCACTCCATTTCAAGTTGTGGCCCTCCTGGCAGGAATTTATGTGTTGAGACATCCAAGGTTTCGCCATAAGCTTCCTTCGGTTCCACTGAATTTCTTCAGGAGGCTGCCTGCAAGAACTGATTGCATGCTTTGAAGCCAGGACAGTGCAGAATGGAGCTTGCCTTCTGCTGCAAGAACTGATCAGCACCAGATTTTGTTTTCTGGTTTGATGTATGACCTTCTCCTGAAGGCAGTAGATTTTGTGGATTTATTGTTCATTATTCTGTCACAGGATTTTCTGTTTTCACTTTTGAACTTCTTGGTAGTCTTGTTAATTTGTAATTTTGTAGGTGTGAGTTGAATTTCACTTCAGCTTAGTTACTTTCATGCTTAATCAGATGTAGTAGCGTTTCTCAATGGGGAGTTATTAGTTTGAATTCTGATGGCCTTGGAGGTAATTAGTGTTTTTCTCCCCTCCATTCTTTTTTAAGATGCTGATTGGTGCATTTCTTTTAAAATAGGCGTATAATTCTCTGAAGTTCTAGTTTTCTTTACATTTTCTATATACCCAGTGGAATTTTGGTGTCATAATAAGAATTAATTTAATGTAGAATTAATTTAATAAGAAGTTTCATGAATGCATGTGGTTGAGTATATTACTATTTTGTCTGGATAGTGTAACACTAAATAAAGTCTGAATATACGTTTTGCTTTAAACTTATATATAAAATTGGGCGTTTGTAGCTTGGATTCAGAGTTTGAGGGTCAACACATTGGTCTGTACAGACAAAGATCCCTTAAGCAAAAAGTATTACTTTTATTTTTTTAACGACAGATTGTATGATAAAATAATGTGATTCTGTCACAATGTTCTTCTGCTGTAGTTCATTTTCTCATTTTCTATTCACTCTGTCTTGTGGGTGAAGTGAAAATGCCAAATACTTGTTTAAATTGGAAAGCATCACTGAGAAAGTTTCCTAAATAGCCCAATTTGGGTGTTGCTTAAAGCTAAATATTTGTAGTTGTTTTTATTTTATTATTTATATTTTTATTAAAAATAAGAATTTATAATATTTTAAAATGAATGTTTTTATTGTTGCTTTTGAATATAAAACTTTAAAATTAGAAGAAAAAAAGAAAAGAAGGTAAATATGAATGAAAACAATAGAAGTAAAGAAAAAATAACTATGATTAATAAAGTTTTAAAATATCTCATGATAATAAGAGTAAAATAACTTATAATAAAGTTGGTAAATAGATGAAAATATTTGACAGCTATCCACACATGGATATATGCAGTAAAAATATTTTTAAATAAGTAGCTTATATTATATTATATATATATATATATATATATATATATATATTTATTTATATAATTTAGGATATGTTTGGATTAGAAGATGAATTTGGAAAAAAAAAAGGAGTCCACGTGATATTCTTTTGATTAAAAGAAAAATGGTAAGATATATAGATAAATGAAAAAGAAAATTTATAAAAAAAATTATGAGTAATTTAATAGATATTGATGATAAAATATATTTAATAAAAAAATTAAATTATAATTAAGTAAAAATTATTATTATTATTAGTATAATTTAAAATATTATAATTTTATTATAAAAATAATTATTAATATTATTATTATTATCATTTATATATTATATATAACATGCTACTTACTTTCCCTGTCATTCTTCATAAACCTGATGATAATTTTTTTGGACAGCAAAATTTCTGCATAGATAAATAAACTTTCCTTGCAAAAATCTTGATACTCTTCCAAAAGGAGCCTAGTCATTTCACTATATGCCCAATTTGTTTTTCCCATGTTATACTTTTGTATATTAATGTAGATAATTTGGCTGATATTTTTTTAAGAGTTGTAATTCCCTTTAATAAAGTATCTTTCTTAAAATTATGTATTATAAATTTGTTATTTTTATAATCATTATTTCAAAAATCATATCAATGTTTTTTTTATTAGTTGACAATATATATTAGAAATTATATATAAATTTTAAAAAAATCTATTTATTATAAGAGTTAAAAGATATTTGTTCTATTTTTTATTTTTATAATTGAATTATTTATATAAATTATTATTTTAAATTATTAGAATATAAAAATTGAATGATAAAAAAATATATTTAATTCATAAATGATTTTTAACATTTATTATTTATTTTTTTAGTTTAAGAGTATTTTAAATTAGAGTTGTTTATTACAATATTTTTTTTATTTTTTAATAGAGGAATTTATATAATATGATAAATATTCTACTTTTTTATGATAATTTTAATAAATAAAATAAAATAAAGAATAAGAGAAAAATATGCTATTTAAAATTTATCAGAAAAGGTTTTATTAACCTTTTATAAGAAAAATAATATTTTAAATTTTTTTATAATTTTATAAAATTAAAGTGAAGAGAGAGAATAGAAAAAAATAATTAAAATTTCTTACAAAAATTTCCATTAAAATAACATTAATAATAAATTATTTAAGAATAATATAACATAATAAATAAAGATTTTACCATTTTCAAACCAAACTGTACAAGTTACTCTTCTTAAATATACTCTAATAATAATAGTAATAATATTCTGAAATATACTTTTGGACCAATTTTTATTTTAAATTATGAATTTAAAAATATTATGAAATAATAGTAAAATAAAATGTAAATATTATAAAATTATATATAACAGCAAGTTATTATACAGTAATATTAAATATTGTATTTATTGAATAAAATATATACAACTTAAACCATATGATTAAATGTTATATTCAATAAATATAATATATTAAAAATAATACATAAATAAAAAGTATTAATGATAAATATATATTTATATAACTGAAATTAACTGCAAAATAATATTAAATACTGCATTTATTAAATTAAATATATAATGAACTTAAACTATAAAAATAAATGTTACATTCAATAAATATAGTGTACTTATTGTTATTTTATTAAATATGATATTGTTTTTGTTAAAAATATATTTACGTTTTTAGTTTATTTAAAATGAATGTATTTTGATTTTGAATGTCGGAAAGTTAAAGTAATAAATATGAAATAAAAGAAAATTTTACAAATTATTATTCTCAACTATGCCAAATTGTTTTTTTTTTATTATTTATATGGAAACTGTAAAATTTGATCAGAGCAACAAATTTACAAGACAAAGGGGTTGGTGTCATAATTGTTGGATATATTTGATGCCAATAATAATAGGAAGATTTTTAATGGATTATAAATCAATCTTATATAAAAAAAGTATGTTATTTTAATAAAAAAATTGTAAGATTTCATGAATTTTGTATTAAGTTATTTAATTTTTCATTTATATTTAATATATACTTTGAATTTAATATAATATATTTTTTTTACTTATAAAAGTTAATTTTATATTATATAATCTCAAATTCTTAAACTCTTTTATTTTTAAGGTTTTCACACAATACTTAAAGTATATTTAAGTGTAACCTATGCTACAAAACAAGAAAATATGACAATTAATGAGAATTGAAAAGATAAAATATTATGAGTTTGAGAAAAGAAAAAAAAACCCTAAGAAACTAAAAAAAAAAAAATAGAATGGAGAGAATATAATCTTAGAAGAAGGGTAAATTGTGAAAACAATTATAGATTTGGAACTGAAGAAGAGAGTAATGAAATTTATTATTTGTTGTGGTTTAACAATATAAAGATGTCAAAATCATAAAACAGAGATTGGAATAGAATATAAGAGGAGGATAATTGATGATGGTGAAATGTAAGAATAGAGTTGAGTAGGTAGGGGGTAGAAAATAATTGGATGTTGATTTATAGCATTCCTTTGGGTGGTTGGAAGCAAAAACAGAGGACAGAAGTGGGTACCTATCTGCCCCTCTTTTTTGCCTTTACACCCTGTAATCTTCCTTCTTTCTTCCTGTTCTGTTCTTCTTTCTGCGTGTCCCAAACAAAGCAAAATGGGGTAAAAATCAAATTAAAGTTGCTTTTATTTACTTACAGAGCCATGCTTCAGAGAGACACACAAAGAGACTTGGTCATGAAGAAAGGAAAAAATAATCTATTAGTATTAGCTTAGTAAAACAAAAAGAAAATACATTAAAAGTTGTGTTGCTTTGATGATTGATTCCACCTCTGATATGGTGGTTTGGCTGAGCTAAAGGTCATTTTTTCTTGGTGATTAAGTTAGCAAGATTTGTTGTTTTATTCAAAAAGATGATGGATGACAAGTTTACAACGCTACTTTTGTTTTCATCTTAAAAGTTTGCCTCTTCGTGCTGTATCAGATCTCACTACAAACTCTGAATTTTCTTAGTTTTTTCTTTTTTTAATTTTATATTCTTAACTTTTCCTAATTCTACCATAAATTTTGATATACTACCAGGGATGTTTTTGGGAACCGAGAGGGTTAATTCCCAAATTTTATAAGTTAGATGTAATTAATGATTTTGTTCCCAAATTGAATGAATATTTAATATATTTATTTGTATATTTATAATTTTATTGTTTCGAGTCTCTCCTAGTTTTATAACTCTTATATAATTTATAATTTTGTTTCCTCAAACTTAATAATCATTTAATATATTTAAGTATATATCTATAATTTTATCTTTTCACCATTTCATATTCTTTCTTTCTTTTATATTTATTTATTATTTATTAATAATATATTATTTAGTCCCTAAGATGATGAAGATCCGCCACTAAATAGTATCTTCAATCTAATCAAACTTTAAAATATTAATTATAAAATTTTCTCATTTATAAATTATTTATTTTTTTATTTTTATCTAATATTGAATTTTAATTTTAATTTTAATTTGGATTCTGAATAATTTGTTTACTTGAGTAAAATATTATTTGCATTTTAAAAACATCATGGACATCAAACATGCAGGAAAAAAAACAAAGGTACAATAATTTTATATACCAGAGTTTGAATAATTTGTCTATCGAATAATTTTAACTATTTTTCCCTTTATATTTAATAATTCACTATTCACTTAGGCTGAAAAATTGCAAGCAAATTTATGACCCATTTGGTTAGTCAATTGTAACATGAGAGTTCTTTGTACATGAAGATATTTTGAGCAACACTTGAGCCTCTACATCTTTTAAATTTTCTAATT